TATTCATTATAATTATACATTTATATATATATATATATAATTTTTTTCGTTCTATATATCTATAGATTCCTCAGGAAGCTAAAGAGAAATGGAGCCTGCCAACGCCCAAAGCCACAGCCCGAAACCCGAAACCCAAATCGCCTTAAGGCCCTTGCCTGCTCGAAAGCGGCCTCGAGCGCATGCTTCTCAGCAGCCTTTGCACTGGGGGGGGGGGGGGGGGCTTTCGGGGGGCTCTTGGGGTTCAAGGGGGTTTAGGGTTTAGGTTTAGGGTTTAGGGTTTAGGGTTTAGGGTTTAGGGTTTAGGGTTTAGGGTTTAGGGTTTAGGGTTTAGGGTTTAGGGTTTAGGGTTTAGGGTTTAGGGTTTAGGGTTGGGGTTTGGGTTTTGGGTGTAGGAGGGTTGATCAAGGAGGTTGGAGATTATAGGGCTCTGTTTGTTGCTTTGGCATTTTAAGGGGCTTGGGAGGGGTTCTGGGGGTCTAGAGATTTTCTGGGTTTGTGTTGTTTTGTTTCGACATGGCCTCTAGGACCGTGCATGCTCTGAAGTCTCAACGCATTTGGCAAATTCAGGCAGTCGAGTAACTGCTGGCTTGGCTTCGACTGCGACTGTGTGTTGTTCAGGGTCTTCGCCCTAAACCCTAAACCCTGGACCCCAAACCCAAAACCCGAGATGTAAAACCCTAACCCTAAACCCTTCACCCGCCAACCCAAAACCCAAAACCCTAAAGCCGAAACCCTAAATCTCAAACCCCCCAAACCTCTCGAGCTTAAGGCCTCAGGTATCTTGCAGGCTCTGGGGACTGCTCCCAATGAAAGTGGGGTTGAGGGCTTAAAGTTCCGGGTTTAGGGTTTTGGGATTAAGGGTTTAGGGTTAAGGGTTTAGGGTTTAGGAGGGTTTAGGGTTTCGGGTTTAGGGCCCCAAGCATAAAAAATCCGTACAGCCCGAACAACGTGTAGGGTTTAGGCTTCGGGCTTTGGGGCTTAGGGCTTATAGGGTTTCGGGTACCATTGAATGCTTCCGAAGCACGGCCAGAAGAAAGAGTAACTCAGGCCCGGACATCGCGCTCTTCTTTTGAGCGGGCGTCCATCGCCTGTGGGCAGACCAAAACCCTAAACCCTAAACCCTAAACCCTAAACCCTAAACCCTAAACCCTAAACCCGAAACCCGAAACCCGAAACCCGAAACCTTAAACCCTAACCCTAAGCCCTAAACCCTAAACCCTAAACCCTAAACCTTCTTGGGCTTTTCGGGTTACCAGCCGTCCCTCAGCCAGCAGCTTGACCATTCCAGGCTCGTGGTTTTGGACTCGGGTTTTAGGGTTTTAGGGTCTTAGGGTCTTAGGGTCTCTAGGGTCTCTAGGGTCTCTAGCGTCTCTAGGGTCTCTAGGGTCTCTAGGGTTTAAGGCTTAGGGTTTAGGGTTAAACCCCACACCCTAAACCCCGAACCCTAAATCCAGCGTGTGGAGTGCAAAGCCCCGCAAAAGAAGCCGAAAGCATGCCCCCTGAAGCCAGAAGCCGTGAGGGTTCAGGGTTCAGGGTTCAGGGTTCAGGGTTTAGGGTTTCTAGCTAGGTTGCCCAGGAACATGGGATTATCAAGGGTGCCTGTTGTTGCTTAAGGTGCTTATAAGGGAACCTTCACCCCGAAGAACATAAAGGGACTGTAGGGATGAGGGCGATGGGGCTCGGGAAACCTCAAGCCTTGAGTTTGCTCGAAAAAATGTGAGGGTTTAGGGTTTAGGGTTTAGGGTTTAGGGTTTAGGGTTTAGGGTTTAGGGTTTAGGGTTTAGGGTTTAGGGTTTAGGGTTTGAAGCCCTCCACGCCTGGTCTTGTAAGGGGAGCTCCCTTACTTCCAGGGAACATACAAGGTCCCAAACGGGTCTTAAGGGCTGCTCTCGTGGATTCAGCGTCACTGGCTTGTTCTCCTACCCTTTCAAAACGGAGGTGCGGCGGACGGGTGTGCGAATCTCTGCTTTTCCTTGCTGGTAGGTGGTAAGCTAGGGGTCGGATTTTTTCCTAATCATGTTCCCTTTCCGTCCCTCTAGAATTATACCAAAATAACCCCGCAAAACCCTGTTCTAACGACTTAGGTGTTGTTGGGGTGAAACTACAGTAGACACTGGGATTCAGGCCCCGAGCTGTCCTTTGGGGGCTGGGGGGAGTTAGATGGGTCTAAACCCTAAACCCGAAACCCTAAACCCTCAAACGCTCAAACCCTATAAACCCTAAACCCTAAACCTTGCTGGATCAGCTGCAAGGTCATGGTGGGTCATGACCATGTTTTCGTTGCTTGCCTGCTACACTGTGAGCCACGCGAGCCGAAGCACGTTTTGAAAGAGCAACCTCTCTTAGCATCTTTGGCATCAGCAGAACAATCCGACATATGGGGGGGTTTCCGAAACTAGGGGTACCTTATATTGGTGTCCTTCATCTGAGGATCTGATTCATAAAACTCCCGAAATTTGAAGAAAGTATTTCTCGGCCCAAACCGTCCGGCAAGACTACTTTCCATTACGGGAGCCAAAGCCCCAAAAACACACCAGACCCCCCCCCCCCCCGGGGCAATTTTAAGAAGACAATTGGAGGCCCAAAAAAATTGGAAATGCTGGCGCCTACAGGAACAATGGAAAGACCGCCGGCCCGCGGGGATGAGAAGCACAGAGATTTTGAATTGCTGAAGTAATTCTAAGACGTGCTCTCGGATGTTTTTGGAGTTGGAGGCTGCAACAGAAAACTGTGATTCCTTACTACTTCGCGTCTAGGATCGATGCCCAAATCATTCGCTCCTGACCCCTTACGGGGGACCAGAGTTTGGGACTAACAAAACCCCCTAAAATAGTGGGAAAGTCCGGCGGGCCCACCATGACGATAAGCACAGAGAGCTTGGCTTGCTTAAGGAATTGCCCACGCGCACTGGCTGCAGCAGAAAACTGCGATTCCTTACTACTTCTCATCATTCGCTCCTGACCTACCCCTTATATACGTGGCCGGAACTCAGGCGCCAGAGTTTGGGACTACTACCCCAAAATAATGGAAAGCCCGGCGGGGATAAGCACAGCAAGCAAGCCAAGAAGAGGAGTCGAACAGGACACAAGAGGACAGCCCCTTTCCGTTCCGCGCACCTCCCCCACCCCCCTCCCTCCCAGCCCGGGAAATAATAGACCCCCTTCCATTATTCTTGGGGGCGGGGGGCGGGGGCCTGTTATTCTAAGAGGATCCTACTATTTGGGGGTTTATCTTCGGGATCCCCTGTGTTCGTAAACCCCATATGTTGGCAACTCCCAGAAATGTTGTTTTTTCCCACAGCAGTGGCTGTGCCACGACTTGCGCAGGCCTTCGGCACGGAGCAAGGCTAGGGATTAGGGTCTATAGGGTTAGGGGTTAGGGTTTGAGGTTTAGGGTTTAGGGGTTTAAGGGTTTAGGGTGTCGGGCTTCGGGTTTCGGGTTGGATTTAGGTTTTAATGTTCACTGAGCGTTCGCGCGTGCCTGGCGGCAAACGGGCATCTTTGTCTCACACATTCTGCCCAGCTTCTAGCTCCTACGCAGCCCTTATAACTTGGGATGTTCCCCCTTCTACTAACAGGCCTGAGTAGGGATTATAATTTGGGGGTACTACAGGCCCTAGTAGGGTTTAGGGTTTAGGGTTTAGGGTTTAGGGTTTAGGGTTTAGGGTTTAGGGTTTAGGGTTTAGGGTTTAGGGTTTAAGGCCTGTTAGTATACGGGGGAACATCCCAACTTATAACCCTCAACCTTACAGCGAAAGCTTCGGCTCTCCCGGGTAAATGGGAAGTTTAGGGTTTAGGGTTTAGGGTTTAGTTTAGGGTTTAGGGTTTAGGGTTTAGGGTTTAGGGTTTAGGGTTTAGGGTTTAGGGTTTAGGGTTTAGGGTTTAGGGTTTAGGGTTTAGGGTTTAGGGTTTAGGGTGGAAGTCCTTGGCTTCTCGCCGCAAGGCTCAAAAACCTTCTGGGGCTCACGGGTCTATGAGGCTTATGGAGGGTTTTAATCGGTTCTACGGGCATTTCCCAAAATAGGGTTTAGGGTTTAGGGTTTATAGGGTATAGGGTATAGGGTTTAGGGTTTAGGGTTTAGGGTTTAGGGTTTAGGGTTTAGGGTTTAGGGTTTAGGGTTTAAGGTCCCAAGTATATTTAAAAAACCGTCATATGGACGGACCACCAAAAATAGGCACCCCAACTTTCGGAAACCCTAGATTGGGAGCAATACGAGGCCCTAAACCCTAAACACTAAACCCTCAACTCTAAATACCCTAAGCCTGTGCCTGCTGCATTTCGAAGGCCAGATTCAAGCGTCTCTTGAGGACGCTGACGGGCAAGGTTGTGGCTCGTGTTGAGCCACGCAAGCCGCGTAACGGGCCGAGGGTTTGGGGTTTGGGGTTTAGGGTTTAGGGCTTGGGGTTTAGGAGGGTGTGGGGTGCGGGGGATTCCTGAGTTTGTACTGCGTTTTGAAGCCTTGGTTTAGGGTTTAGGGTTTAGGGTTTAGGGTTTAGGGTTTAGGGTTTAGGGTTTAGGGTTTAGGGTTTGGGGTTTGGGGTTTGGGGTTTAGGAGGGTTTAGGGTTTAGGGCTACTGGCCCCTGGATGGGTAAGGGGCTTGGATTCGTCAAGGTTCAGAAGGTTCAACCCTTTCAGCCCTAAGCCCCAAACCCTAAGCCCCAAACCCTAAACCCTAAACCCTAAACCCTAAACCCTAAACCCTAAATCCTAAACCCTAAACTCTAAACTACAATTTCTTGGAGGTTCACGACTACTTGTAAGTAGGACTGTTTAAGTCCCCTAAATCAGGTTACAACCATAGCTACCCTACTTCAAGCCCTACTATATAAGTACCCTTGAACCTCCAAGTAGAGCCGACGATCTTGCCGGGTGCGCGTCTCACTTGAAGTAGGGTAGAATTTTCTTTTACCCCCAAAAGGACAATCGGTATATACACTCACCAAACCCTAAACCCTAAACCCTAAACCCTAAACCCTAAACCCTGAACCCTAACCCTACTTCACTTCGTTCGGCCAGGTCTCAGAGCAAATGAGTCGCAGTCGTCTCTGCTTGACCGTTGGGGGCGTTCGTTGCCTCGGTTCCCGCTATGGTTCAGGGTTTATACCCCTAAACCCTAAACCCTAAACCCTAAACCCTAAACCCTAAACCCTAAACCCTAAACCCTAAACCCTAAACCCTAAACCCTAAACCCTAAACCCTAAACCCTAAACCCTAGGGGTTTCGGTAGGGTTTAGGGCTCAAGGTGGTTGACATAACACACTTGAGCAACCCTGAACCCCATGATGCCCGAGATGCCCATTTCCAACCCTAAGAAACTCTCAACCCCCGCGACGGAGAACAAGTCATGTTTAGGGCTTAAGTCGTAAACCCTAAACCCTAAACCTAAACCCTTTAGGGTAAACCCTTGAGGGTTTCGCTAGAGCCCCTGGTCTCCCTGCATTTAGGGTTTAGGGTTTAGGGTTTAGGGTTTAGGGTTTAGGGTTCAGGGGATTAGGGGATTAGGGCTTCACCATTCAGGGCTTCCAAACTTCATCGGGCTCTTGGTCGCAGGTCTACAGGTTCCAGAAGCTCTTGGGCTCAGGGGTTTGGAGTCTATAGGGCTTAGGGTTGAAGGTCGAGGGTGGGGATTTGCGGTTCAGAGTTCTAGGGTTTAGGGTTTAGGGTTTAGGGTTTAGGGTTTAGGGTTTAGGGTTTAGGGTTTAGGGGTTCTAGGGTTTGTGGGGGGGGGGGGGGGGGGGGGCAGGGGGTCGAGGATCTGCAGGCCCTGGAGAGAACAGCGGCGACGAGTGCTAGTTTTGGTCTCAGCCGTCGTGAATCCCACGGGCTTCCCTAAACCCTAAACCCTAAACCCTAAAGGTCTGGTATAGAAGCTTGGAGGTTTCGAGAGGTTCCAGTCTGGCGATGCGTTGCGGGCCTCCTAGCTCTCTTAAAGTTGCAACTCTCAAAAGCACCAACGAAAAGACTTGCAGCTGCAAGCTGTATTAGGCCCCCTCAATGTTGCTTCCCGGTTCTCCCCTGGAATATGACATCCTGGATGATGACCACATGGCCAGTGCATCGAGATTCGCATGGCGGGTTAACCACAATGACTAAAGTTCCTAACGGGCGACCGTGCTTCGAGTCTTAGAGAAGTCCCTGCACTTCATAGTGCTGCAGCAGGAGAACTCAATAAATGCTTGGACTGCGTCGACGAATGCTGAAAAAAACGTTGTGCCGCTGCAGAAACTCTGGGTTTAGGGTTTAGGGTTTAAGGTTTAGGGCATAGCGTTTATTCTACGCGTGTTAAGTGCCAGCGCCTGTAAGCCCAAACCCCGACCCTACATCCTGAACTAAGCTGCAGTTGCTGCAGCCAGTTAGCTTGAGGTTCGTACGGATTTACCAGTCCGAAACACAAACTCCCAAACATAGGTTCCTAAACACTTCTAAGCTGCCTATACAGCCTAAGCCCCTCCAGTGCAAACTGGTCGCAGCTGCGTGTCTCCTGCCTCGGCTATTGGTCCCGTCTAGCAGTCTAGCCAAGATACTTACGAGCTACGAGTCTTGAATGGGTTAGAGCTGCACAGGGTGTGAGGCTGAAGGTTTCTTGGATGTAGGACTCAGGCTCAAGGGTTTAAGTTGTCAGTCTTAAAGGTTGCTAGGTTGGTCCGAATATAATCCCTCTCATGGATTTTAGTACACGGGGGGGAACATCCCAAGGTCCAGGGTGAAGCGAAAGGTTCGCTTCTGGGAGCCTCTGTTTGAGACCTGCTGCACCTGCTCATATCGACGCATAGGTAAGACATGCTATCCTTCGCGCATTGGGAGGGTGGATGTCGCCTGTCAGCCACTGTGATCAAAAAAGTTCCCTGTCCCCGCTCAAGGGAGCCCCAACAGAGGTCGCCAGTTTAGGGTTTGGGTTTAGGGTTTAGGGTTTAGGGTTTAGGGTTTAGGGTTTAGGGTTTAGGGTTTAGGGTTTAGGGTTTAGGGTTTAGGGTTTAGGGTTTAGGGTTTAGGGTTTAGGGTTTAGGGAGGCCGCACTCGATATTATATGTAGGGACTCTTGAAATCGAAAAACTGCAGTATTCCCACCATTAGGGTTTGGGGTCCCAGGCGATCATGAGGTACCAGTAGTCCACATGCGCACTTGCTTCCGGTTTTGCAGTCAGTTCGGAGGTCTTTCCTTTCAGTCTGTGGCCTGCCCAACGCAAACCTTCATTGCACTGTCCCAAACACCCGTTTGGGTGTGTGGGTGATGGGCAGGAGGTGAGGGTGCAGTTCAAACAAAATATGAATCGGCCACAGCTCAGGGCTTCACTCTTGCAAGGGGTAGCTTCGGTTCTTGGCGAGGGGCTCAAGCTCAGGGTTTAGGGTTTCCAGGGTCCAGGTTGCAGGTTGAAGGCTACAGGGCTCCTGATAAAGTTCAAGGATGTGTCCACTCCCCTTAGAACCTTCGTCAAGAATGATGTGTGCAATATTCCCTTGGGTTGTAGATAAACAAGAGCAAGACCTGGTTCTCGAGAAAGACTATAAGAGATGGGTGCTCCTAGACACTTCATCCAGGGCTCCTGATGTCAGGGATTTTTTAGCAGAGGGAAGGATGAGCCAAGAAGGCTTACAGGGCTAATAGGGTGTGCTTGGATTAGCTTGGTACCCCAGAAAAACCATGTTATGAGAAGGGCACCCTGTTTTTGGTTGGTGAATTCTTAATCCCTGTTCCCCTAGGAAGAAAAAAGGATCCTTTTTGTTCATAATATAAGAAAGCCCATAACCCAAAAAGCAAAAAGGATCCCTAACACTGATCGAGTAATTTATAAGGGAACCCTGGAACGAAAAAAAGGGCCAAAGGGTAGCACATGAGACGTTGGGGGAAGGTGAAGGGTTGGTCCCGTGCTGTCTGGGATTTAGGGTCTCGGATTTAGGGATTACGAACTAGGCTGCCTAGTAGCCTAGGATTTCGAAGGGGTGCCCGTGTTTTGCTTGAAAGGTTGTAAGGGACCCTAACCCCCTCCCCCTCCCCCCCCAAAAAAAAGAGGATAAGGGCACTACCGGGCATCCTAGCTCGTTCTTGCGAAGATGTTCCGACGAGCAGCCTCGTAAACCGATCCCGTCCAGCTGTATGCGGGCGCCTGGCCGCGCAGCACGTTTCCACAAATCTACGGGCCCGCTGAGCATGAGCAGTACGCATTTAAGGTCAAAAGCGCTAGGGTTTGGGGTTTAGGGTCCTAGACTACGGGAGAGAGCGAGTCCAGGGGCATAGTGGACTCCAGGGCAGATCCTCAATGTGCTGCGCCTGCGAATATAGGGCTCTGCCAGGTTTAATTCCGCCTGAAACCGCACTCCTCTGGCGATTGTTCGCAAGAATCAGAAAAACACAAAACTCAAGCCGCTTTGGCACGCATGTCGCATGTCTGAAACCCCCTGTGAAACCCAAACACCGAAGCTTGAGCAAGAAGTTTGTCGCGCCAGGCCAATTGTCAAATGCATGAACCCTGAACTTTTCTGAACCCTAAACCCTAAACCCTAAGCCCTAAACCCTAAACCCTGAGCGCCGCACTGAAAAGGCTTCGTTTACAAGATGCCGCTGTTAAAGTGGCACTTGGAGCTCCTAATTCCCGAAGGAACCCTTGAACCCTGAACCCTAAACCCTAATCCTAAACCCTAATCCTAAACCCTACTAAGGCAGTTCTAATAGACCGCTTACCTACCCCTAAGAATCCTGCCCGGTGCTGGTTCTCGTGAATTATCCGGTCGGCTGAACGAAACTTAGCTTTGGAGTAGACCCTGGAAAAAAAGTATATACTTTTTAGGTATAAGTAGCTATAATAGGAACCCAGAACCAAAAAAAAGCATTAAAGTATAGTACTCCAAGACCCAGGAAACCCGGGCTCCCAAGGCAAAGCGCTACGACCTCGCAAAACTCTGAAGCCCCCCTGGAACCTCCTCATTGACCCCACAGGGTGACTAACCACCCTAAACCCTACCCCAAACCCCAAACCCCAAACCCCAAACCCCAAACCCCAAACCCCAAACCCTAAACCCAAAACCCCAAACCGTAAACCCTAAAAACCCTAAAACCCTAAAACCCTAAAACCCTAAAACCCTAAAACCCTAAAACCCTAAAACCCTAAAACCCTAAAACCCTAAAACCCTAAAACCCTAAAACCCTAAAACCCCCTAAAACCCTAAAACCCTAAAACCCTAAAACCCTAAAACCCTAAAACCCTAAAACCCTAAAACCCTAAAACCCTAAAACCCTAAACCCTCAATAACCCTAAACCCCAAACCCCAAACCCTAAACCCTAAATAACCCTAAACCCCACAGAGACAACTTCAGCCTGCGGATCGACGCCGTCCGCGACGCGAGGGTGTTGGACCCAGAGACGACACGTGCCTTTCTGGGCTTCTTGTTAGGGTTCAGGGTTTTAGGGTTTAGGGCTTGGGGCTTAGGGTTTAGGGTTTTAGGGTTTTAGGGTTTTAGGGTTTTTAGGGTTTTAGGGGTTTAGGGTTTTAGGGTTTTAGGGTTTAGGGTTTAGGTTTGGGGTTTGGGGTTTAGGGTTTAGGGTTTAGGGTCTAGGGGCAAGAGAAGGAGAAAGAGCAACAGTACCAACGACAACAAGATGAATACTTCTTAGAACGAGGAGAAGACTTCCTGCAGAATAGGCAAGAACCAGACTTGTGGCACCTATATAATCCCTTTATAAGAGTCCCTATATAATCCCTTTATAAGAGTCCCTATATAATCCCTTTATAAGAGTCCCTATATAATCCCTTTATAGGAGTCCCTATATTCACTCTTCCACTCTCCCTTAAGCATGCGTCAGCAGAACAAGGAACCTAGGCTGCCCAGGAGCCAAGGCTTAAACAGGGTGCCCCTTCTTTTTTTTGCTTAAAGGGGTGTATAAGGGAACCTAAACCCTAAACCCTAAACCCTAAACCCTAAACCCTAAACCCTAAACCCTAAACCCTAAACCCTAAACCCTAAACCCCCCCCCCCCCCCCCAAAAAAAAAAAGGGAATAAGGGTACTACTGGGCATCCTGGAAACTCAGGCAAGGAGTAAGAATGAGTAAGAATACTCACATCGCGGGTTCGCGCGGCTCAAGGCTTTTTTTTCAGGGGTCCCCCGTACCTAAATAGGGAGCACTCGGGTCTTAAAGTACTTCCTTTTTGGGACTTTGGGGCCCAAGTATACAGTAATGAGGTACATGGACCCTGACTTGGAGGTTCATGGTACTTCTTAACCCATTATAACTGTACGTAAAACCCAGTTTTTATGCCCCTGAAGTGCCCCAAGATGGTTATAAGTACAGTTGTCAGTACCGTAATCATTGGTTGGTCGGTTTAGGGTTTAGGGTTTAGGGTTTAGGGTTTAGGGTTTAGGGTTTAGGGTTTAGGGTTTAGGGTTTAGGGTTTAGGGTTTAGGGTTTAGGGTGAGTACCATGAACCTCCAAGCACGGTTTGGCTGGCCATGGTCCACGGCGTGACTTGCCCGAGGATCCAGAATGCTGTTGCTTGCGATCGCTGAGGAATATGGAGCAAGTGCACGGCTCACTCCCCAACCCCCTAAAGTCTCTACACCCCTAAACCCTAAACCCTAAACCCTACACCCTAAACCCTAAACCCCAAACCCTATACTAAACCCTACAGCCTAAACCCAAAAAGGGACCTCCCGCAACCGCCGCTCCAGCTGCGCAGCCGTGGCTGCGGCCGCGAGGGCCACGGGCGTGAGTGTGGCCGGGGGAGTCTGCAACTCCTTCGAGGTGGGCCCCTAAACCCTAAACCCTAAACCCTAAACCCTAAACCCTAAACCCTAAACCCTAAACCCTAAACCCTAAACCCTAAACCCCTAAACCCTAAACCCTGAACCCTGTAACCCAAAACCCTAAACCCCATGAGTTTCGGGCGAGCCTCGTGGCCTGAGATTCCGGCAGTTGCATGGCTAGCCCTCTCAACTGGGGTCGCTTTGTTGGGGTCCTATACTTAGTTGCTGAGTTCATAAGCCCCCCCAAAAGCGTACACTTTCAGTTCTATAGGGGGCTAGTGCTCACTCAGCTACTTCGCATATGTACTACGGCACCCTTAAGGGAAGCACCTCACGAAAGGGGGCCCGAATTTGGAGAACTACCCACATATGCATGGGGAATTAGGCGTTTAGGGTTTTGGGGCTTTCCGAAGTGGGGGTTTTGAAGGTTGGGCTCATTCCTGGTCATTCCTACCCTAAACCCTAAACCCTAAACCCTAAACCCTAAACCCTAAACCCTAAACCCTAAACCCTAAACCCTAAACCGTCCGTTTATTTAGGGTGTCTGCGAGTCTTTGGATAGTTTTTGGCATGGCTCATGGGTATGGACCTTACACCCCAAAAAACCTTTTTACAAGGTTTTCGGGCTACAGGTTAATTGGGTATTCATGAAGCCCTAAATCTAAACATCCAGGCACTGGGAGGTTCGCCTCGAGGATAGGGTTGGATACTTTGAAAAGTTTGGGGCGAGCCTATTTGGTTGAGGTTTTAGGGTTTGGGGTTTAGGGTGTAGGGTTTAGGGTTTAGGGTTTAGGGGTTAGGGTGTAGAGTTTAGGGTTTAGGGTTTCGGCACCCCCGAAGGTAGAAGCCCGGAACACTAAAGCAAAAATAGCCCCTGGAACATGGCAGGCTGTTGCCTACTCTTGCGGATGCTGCTACCTTCAACCATCAACTCAGAATTTAGGCTCAGGATCCACAGCCCTAGACCATAAATCCTCCAAACCCTAACCTCTAACCCCTAAACCCTAAACCCCAAACCCTAAAACCTAAACCCTAAACCCTAAACCCTGAATCCTCTACACATCCTGAACCCTGAGCCGAAGCACCCGGCACTTGCCGCAGCTGCTGAACCTCCAAAGCAGCCCGCTCGGGGCCCAAGGGTTTTTGGACACTCTTTGCTTCGGTCACTGTTCTGCTGTTCAGTAGACCCTAAACCCTAAACCCTAAACCCTAAACCCTAAACCCTAAACCCTAAACCCTGAACTCGTCGTTCATAGGGACTCACATTCGTCACCTGAGCCCTCAACGGTTTGCACGGTTGCACATGGCGCAGAAACGGTCGCCACGTGTCGTCATGCACAGGTACATCCACACATCCACAGGGCGCGCCTTTGAATGAAAGCCGCAGTGCCCGAGGACCTGCTACTGATGGTGATGCAAGTCCAGATAGTCCTTCACCTTGCCATGCTGCCCTGCATATGCCTTGGGGCTCATAAACAGCCAGTGGCAGCCCCGGCGCACGAGCTCGTCCCAGTCGTACACACAGGACGCCGGCCGTTCGGTCGAGCACGGCACGTGTCCGAACTGGTACGCCCTGCTTGCTCCCAAGCCCCGGAGCTCCGCCATGTGCTCTTCCGACAACTCCCAGCTCCCGGCGAGAGCCTCGAAGTTCGATGCGAGGCGGTCTGGGTGGATGCTCTTGGTGATAACCTTGGGGACCACATGAAGGTGAGAACTGGGGTCATATACCCTGTACTACTCTAATTCTTATGAAGGTACATGAACCCTAAGCCTTTTCAGGATTCATGTCGTCCCCAAGGAACTGCATTGCCCAGCTGGATGTTGTACCTCAGGAGGACCTGCGCAGGGGTCTTCCCGATACTGGAAGCGATGTTGCAGACGACCGGGTCGGAGAGAAGGTGAGGGTCCTTGGGGACCAAATGAGCCTTAACATTGCTGTCACATACCCTGTACTACTGTAACTCCTATATAAGGGTATATGAACCATAAACCCTTTTAAAAGCTGTCACATACCCTGTACTACTATAACTCCTATATAAGGGTAAATGAACCATAAACCCTTTTAGGGTTCATTTTCAAGGGTCCCCAGGCTGGCGCCACGGGGAGTCGGCAGAGCCAAGGGCGCTGAAGGCCGTGAGGAGAATGCCGTGCCTTAGTTGTCCAGTACCTAGGGGTTTTAAAGGTTAACCTTTGGGATTATAAGGGGAATATATTAACCCAAAAAGGTTAAAGGTTCCCTACTCTACTACTAAGGTGCTCGCGACAAAAGGCCTGGAGGGAAGACTGGTCTGTGTACGGGTGGCACTCGACCTTCGTGGCCCAGCAAGCATATTCCAATAAGGGCACCCCTTTTTTGGGTTGGTTACTTTACAAGGGAACCCAGAACCCAAAAAAAAAAAAAAAGGTAAAGGGCACCACTGGGCTACCAAGCAACCTGATTCACAGATGGGCGGATGGAGCAGGAGTCTAGGATGGTAGTAAGTTGGGCTGCGTCACAGTTTGACACGCCGATGCTGCGGACAAGCCCTTTGGATACCTTGGGGACGACATGAACCCTAAAAGGGTTCTAACAGGGTTATTTCTGGCTTCCTTAATCAGAAATATAGGGGTTTATGGGTCATATACCTTCAATGCCTTGCTCAGAAATATACTAGTATTACTAGTACAGTGGGTATATATGACCCCAAATTTAAGGTTCCAATTCATTTGGTCCCCAAGGTGCAAGAGCCTCCATGGCTGCCCAGGTGTCCGTCAGAGGGATGTCCGCAAAGGCCGGGAAGCCGTCCTAGTTCATGGTTGGGATAGTATTTAAAATCAAAATCTTCCTTATTGGGTTTAAGTACCCTTAAAAATGTAAAATGTTACCCAACTATGACAAAGCGTCCGGGTCCAGTGGAAAGTCATTCCCGCCGGGCGGCTGAGGGCTGAATGCATAGGGGTGGTGAAGTAGGTAGAGGTCAAAGTAGTCCAGGCCCATCTTCTGCAGGGAGGACTTGCATGCAGTTTCCACCAGAGACGGGTCGTGGTGGGTGTTCCACAGCTTCGAGGTCACGAAGAGCTCCTCCCGCGACACTTCTTGCCCGGAGCCGACCGATGTGCTAAGGGCCTTACCGACTTCCGCTTCGTTCCAGTAGATGTACGCGCTGTCGATGTGTCCTTGGTAAGTAAAGCCAAGTACCCGAAATGGAATAAGGGTACCACTCTTGTTGTTGGTGAACTTTATGCTAAGGCAGGGAACTTATAGAACCATAAAAAGAAGGCGCAAAAAAAACAGCACAACTGGGCTCCCAAGTGGCTGTAGCCGATCCGCAGTGCTTCCCTCACACAGCTGCCGGCTGCCTCAGGCGCCACCTTCCAAAGCCCTAGGCCCACTGCGGGCATCGAATGGCCGCAGTTGAGCAAGAAAGAGGAGGCAGCCATGGAAGCAAAAAAGGGTTTAGGGTTGAGGGTTCAGGCAGCCGGGATCAGGATCAGATGGACTTCCCCTACTCGGGCTCGAGTCAAAAGGTATAGCTTCACCGGCAACGCGACTGGAAAAAGTCAGCGACACTATGCTGGAACGGACGATTCGACTCGTCTTCTCTTCACCTGTTCCGGCGTTGGGAGGGGGGTTGGGAAGGGGTTGAGGAAAAACACGTACATATCGCGTAGTACAAAAAACACATACTATGATTATAATTCTTTGTAGATTTGTAGACACTATTTTGTATTCTGAGTGTGATTATATAACCCTAAACCCTAAACCCTAAACCCTAAACCCTAAACCCTAAACCCTAAACCCTAACCCTAAACCCTAAACCCTAAACCCTAAATCCTAAACCCTAAACCCTAAACCCTGTACATTATGAACATCATGGAGCCCCCAGCGCCTCGTCGGCGGCGACCTCGCACTCGGGGGCGGGCACCTCCGTTGGCGCAGCGCCTGCACTAGCATCGCTGAGGCCTTTGTATGTTAGGGTTGAGGGTTTAGGGTTTTAGGGTTTTAGGGTTTTAGGGTTTTAGGGTTTTAGGGTTTTAGGGTTTTAGGGTTTTGGGGTTTTAGGGTTTTAGGGTTTTAGGGTTTTAGGGTTTTGGGGTTTTGGGGTTTTAGGGTTTTAGGGTTTTAGGGTTTTAGGGTTTAGGAATCTTCTATTTACTTAGCTGGGTGGGCCGTTGAACCCTTTGACAAAGATTTGTACGTAGGATCTTTCAGAACTCCAAATAAGGAAAATCGAAAATGTCCCAAAAGCCAGCCAAGTTAAGAATTCCCCCCCCCAAAAAAAAAACAATATATATATATATAGCAATCTTCTTTATCAGGAGAATAAGTGGATGATTGTCGTTGCTTGTTCGGGGTCCTTAAGCAAAACAGTAGGAACCGAATGGCTTCACACTTTCAACCATCACCAGAATGACTTAGGGTTTAGCTTAATCCCCGTTCCCCTAGGAAGAAAAAGGGATCCTTTTTGTTCATATATAAGAAAGCCCATAACCCAAAAAGTAAAAAAGATCCCTAACACTCATCGAGTTAGGGTCACACCTGGGCCCGATCCGCAACGAAAGAAACGGAGAAGTTGATTCCGTTCTTTTGGGAGTTGGGATAGGATTAGGGGGAATTTGGGGATAGAGACCCTCTGAATAAGGCCCCTTGTTAAGAGAGCCAGAAGAGGGTTAAGAAGGGGTTCCCTTTTAAGGGTCCCCCTTATCCCACCTAGGATTTGGGAGTTGGGACTTTGGTACCCATGTAGGCAGACAAAAAGCAGTGATGTTCAGATCTTCTGGTGCCGACTTTGCAGCCAGTGCACCCTGAACCCTAAACCCTAAACCCTAAACCCTAAACCCTAAACCCTAAACCCGAAACCGCGGTAAAGCAGCTCTCGGATCTCTCCAGCTGACTGTGTTTTTTTCGGGAAGCTTCGTAGCCCCTGAGCCCTAAACCCTAAAGTTTTATCCGAGCACGTTCCAATGTGGCAGACCACGAACCTGTCTGATCAAGTCTCTGGGGAAATCACCTTGTTCAGAGCCCGGAAGTGGAACATTCTCACCCGTACCTTCCACGTACCCATGTAGTATATACTTGGGGCCTAAAGCTACTATGTAGGAACGCTATGTAGCACACGGGTACATGGGCCCTTTGTGCCTAGGGCTCAAAGTGGCCCAAAAACCTTACCATCACTGAAGACGATTCAATCCCAAGAGGGGCAGCAATGCCTAAACCCTAAACCCTAAACCCTAAACCCTAAACCCTAAACCCTAAACCCTAAACCCTAAACCCTAAACCCTAAACCCTAAACCCTAAACCCTAAACCCCAAAAGCCAAGGCCTACTATTGAGGGCACAGGCAATCCTAGGGCATGCTGGGGTTTGGGGTTTAGGGTTTAGGCAATTGTGTTTCTGGGGTTTGGGGTTTAGGGTTAGGGTTTAGGGTTTAGGGTTTAGGGTTTAGGGTTTAGGGTTTAGGGTTTAGGGTTTAGGGTTTAGGGTTTAGGGTTTAGGGTTTAGGGTTTAGGGTTAGGGTTTAGGGTTTAGGGTTTAGGGTTTAGGGTTTAGGGTTTAGGGTTTAGGGTTTAGGGTACTAGACCACAAGCCATGGAGCCGGGCACACGGCTAGACCTGGTCTTTCGGGCGAAAAAACCCTTGAGAGAAGAGTTCTTGGAGCCTTTCAGGATACAGATGGTGGTTTCCGAAATTAGGGTATCAAATTGTGGTCCTTATCATAAGGGGATCCTACTATGTGGGGGTCTATAATAACTCAAGGCAAAGATCTTGAGCAGGGGTGGGGGAGTCGTCAAGGTTATTCGGGTTTAGGGTTTGGGGTTTGGGGTTTAGGATTTAGGGTTTAGGGTTTAGGATATAGGGTGTAGGGTGTAGGGTTTAGGGTTTAGGGTTTAGGGTGTAGGGGTTTCTCAGCAAGCCTCCGGATTGGGGCCGCGAGGTCGGCGTCGAGCTTCGACGTGACGCCGGCTTCGATTGCGGCAGCGAGGGCTGAGGGGCAGAGTTGCACCTAAAGCTCAAGGAGAATCTAGAGGGTTTAGGGTTTAGGGTTTAGGGTTTAGGGTTTAGGGTTTAGGGTTTAGGGTTTAGGGTTTAGGGTTTAGGGTTTAGGGTTTAGGGTGTAGGGTTTAGGATTTATAGGGTTTAGGGTTTAGGGTGCAGGCTTGAGGGAGCCTAGTTTCCATGATTGGGTTGGAAGGCCTCGGTTAAAGACGGGCGTTGGGTGTCGCTACCGTGCGAGCCAGCAGGGGAGTGCAAACATGTTGACCTCCATACTCTAGGGGCCTTGATGACTAGGCTGCCCAGTAACCAAGGCCTAAAAAGGGTGCCCTTTTTTTTTTGCTTAAAGGGGTTTATAAGGGAACCTAAACCCCCCAAAAAGGGAATAAGGGTACTACTGGGCATCCTAGCCTGGATACTATAGGGGCCTTAATGATTAGAATAGGGTTTTGGCGGGGGTTAGGACGGCATAACTGAGTGTGTAGGGACCATATGGGGGGGAATACCACTCGTAATTCTCCGACCCCTGTAGTACACCTCTCCATGACGTCCGTAAAGCCCTTAGCACTTCAAGTTGCAGTTGCCGCAACCGGTATGTTAGACAGCATCTTTCCTACCAAATTGCAAATGCTAAAGGGTGAACTTAAACCCCAAACCCTAAACCCTAAACCCAATGTAACACCCCAAGCAGTCGTCTCCAAGTTGGCAGCTACTTTAACTAGGGTCCGAACTAGGCCACGTAGACAAAACCAAAACAGGGCCTGGGAGTTTAGGGCTCAGGGCATGTAGGGCTAGGGTTTCGCGCGTGGGGTTGAGGGTTCACCCTGTACACCCGGGCCCTAAACCCTACACCCTAAACCCTTGCCCTAAACCCTAAACCCTAAACCCCAAACCCCCCCAAAAAATCCTAAGTCCTGAGACCCCTTGTTCCTGCACTCAGGGCACTGGATCTCAGAGCTGTGATGTCGGCTGCGCTCTGCAAGGAGACCTTGCATCAGGGCTCTTTGGGGTTTAGGGTTTAGGGTTTAGGGTTTAGGGTTAGGGTTTAGGGTTTAGGGTTTAGGGTTTAGGGTTTAGGGTTTAGGGTTTAGGGTTTAGGGTTTAGGGTTTAGGGTTTAGGGTTTAGGGTTTAGGGTTTAGAAATCAGGGTTTAGTGTTTATAGGGTTTAGTGCGCTCTGCCAGGAGACCTTGCAGCGGACGTTAGAGCTTAGAGCTTCTTCAGACAGCAGGGCTCTTTAGGATTTATAGGGTTGAGGGTTTAGGTTTTAGGGCTTCTAGGGTTTAGGGTTTAAGGTTTACAGGGTTTAGGGTGTATAGGGTTTAGGGTTTATAGGGTTTAGGGTTTAGGGTACGGTTTTAAAGGTTTAGGGTTTGGGGGAGTTTAGGGGGGGGGGGCTTCAGGGGGCTTCAGGGTCACCACTTGGTCGTGCCGCAAGACCCTGGGTGCCATGTGGCGGGCTCAAGGTCTTTGGTTGGCTTCAAGAGCTCAGGCCTTGAGGAAACTCCGTGGCAACAACCCTCAAGCCTAAGCCCTAAACCCTAAACCCTAAACCCTAAACCCTAAACCCTAAACCCTAAACCCCAAACCCCAAACCCCATACAGAGGCTGAGGTCTGCCAATCCGAAACATTTGACGACAATCCATCCCCTCAGGCCTAGAAGACTCTCCACATGGGTCGTTGCCGAATTTGGCGTACCCTTTGTAAGGGTCTAGACTCTAGGGGTTAGGGTTTTAGGGCTTGTGGGTTTTAGGATTTTAGGGTTTTAGGGTTCTAGGGTTTTAGGGGTTTAGGGTTTTAGTGTTTTAAGGTTTTAGGGTTTTTGGGATTTAGTAGTTACATGGCTCCTTAGTATGGGCCGTTAAAAGGGTACCATGTTTGGGCCGTTCAGAGGGTGCCCTGTTTTATCCTTCAATCTCACTGGCCTTACGGGGCGGACGTAGGCTCAATAGTCTGGGGTGAGGGCAAATCACTGGTGGTGTATACCTGGGACCCTATATTTACCTACAGTTTAGTAATAAGCACCCCCTATAAACTGTAGGTAAATAGGGCACCAGGTAGGCCTGAAGAGATTTTTTCGAAAAGTCACCGGAAAAATGTCGCAATGCTGGGCCACCACGCTCTCACGACTTTGCCGACCCACGGCCTCGGACTTCTGTGTCCCCCTCTCCTGGTACTTGGAGGTTCATGGTACTTCTTAACCACTTATAACTGTACTGATAACCATATTAAGGCACTCAAGGGGCTTATGAGTGGGTTGTAAATACAGTTAATAAGTGTATTCAAAACCAACTGTAGTACAAGACTGTACATAGACTTGTACTTATAGCCATATTAGGGCACTTAAGGGACTTATGTGGGTTACAAATACAATAACCAATCGTAATATAACTGGTTAATAAGTGCCATGAACCTTAATCCCTGTTCCCCTAGGAAGAAAAAAGGATCCTTTTTGTTCATACATAAGAAAGCCCATAACCCAAAAAGTAAAAAGGATCCCTAACACTGATCGAGGAACCTCCAAGTAGGGGTGTGTGGCGATCGGGGTGCCGGCATGGTTGAGGACTCCAGCTCGGGGGTTTTCAAGGGGCAGACGATGGCTTAGGCTATAGGGTTTAGGGTTTAGGGTTTAGGGTTTAGGGTTTAGGGTTTAGCGTTTAGGGTTTAGGCAAATCCCAAGACCCGTGACCATGGGTTCAGGCGTTGGGGAAGGTTGTTGTAGAGCTATCGGCTTGCGTCGGATGTAGGATTTGCACCAACCTTTTTCGGATGCAGAATCGCCGAATGGGTTGCGAGACCTAACCCTGAAGCCTAAAGCCTAAACCCCAAGATCCTAGACCCTAAGACCCTAAGACCCTAAGACCCTAAGACCCTAAGACCCTAAGACCCTAAGACCCTAAGACCCTAAGACCCTAAAACCTAAGACTCTCGACCCGAGGGCTGGTGCAAAGAGATTGTCACCACCCAGGACAAGGAATGCACTGCAAAGCCACCTGCAGAATTTGCGAGTTGTTCCATCGGCACGTGTAACCCCTGAACCCCAAACCCTAAACCCTAGACACTAAACCCTAAACCCTAAACCCTAAACCCTAAACCCTAAACCCTAAACCCTAAACCCTAAACCCTAAACCCTAAACCCTAAACCGAGCCTCATAGAAGCTCTTCTCACGGCAAGCTCCGAGGTCGGCTACAATGGAATAGACCTGGGTGCTGGCTCCACGTCTGAGGGGTTGTTTCGGTGCCCTTCAACCCCAGGGCTTGGGGTTTTTTCTTATAGTATATCTATACAGGGACCATAAGGGGATACTACTAGTAAGTAGATATCTATAAAGGGACCATAAGGGGATACTATTGGTAATTCGATGTCTATAAAGGGACGATAAGGGGATACTATTCGTAATTAGTCCGACCCCTACATTACTTCCGCGCAACATTCGGAAAAGACTTCGAGCTCTGTCGGGTCAGGCTCCCCGGCCCCCTTAACGTTGAACCCTATAAAGTCTTCCTAGACCCCGAACTACTGTTAGGGAATGATCAGAAGTAAGCGGAGGGTGGGGGCTCTCAACCCAAAAACCTCGTTTCCCAGCCACAAACTCGCCTCCATGAGCTCTTGTCGGAGGATGAGCATTCGATCGGAAAGGTGGTTGAACCCTCCTTCCACCGAGCCTGCGTTCGGATGCTTTGTTTGGGAGGGGTGGGGCGGGGGTTGCTTTATAATTGGATGGCATTTTTGCAGGTTCTTCGAGGGTTTCGGAGGATTTTGGAGGGTTTGTTGGTCTAGAACCCTCAGCCCTAGGCCCTTTCCTTCAGGCGACCTTATGTTGCCGGGCATTTGGAGAATTTCGTGCTTCGAGCGACAGCAAATGTGCAAAACCCAAGCTGAGACCAGCAGTCAGATCGGGAGGCTGCATCTAAACCCTAAACCCTAAACCCTAAAATACTCTAAACCCTACACCCTAACACCCTAACACCCTAACACCCTAACACCCTAACACCCTAACACCCTAACACCCTAACACCCTAACACCCTAACACCCTAACACCCTAACACCCTAACACCCTAACCCCTAACACCCTAACACCCTAACACCCTAAACCCGAAATAGTCTAAACCCTAAACATACCCCAAACAATGAAAAGCCCTAAAACCCTAAACCCCTAAACCCCTAAAACCCTAAACCCCTAAACCCCTAAACCCCTAAAACCCCTAAAACCCTAAAACCCTCAAACCCTAAAACCCTAAAACCCTAAACCCCTAAACCCCTAAACCCCTAAACCCCTAAAACCCTAAAACCCTAAAACCCTAAAACCCTAAAACCCTAGACCCTAAAACCCTAAACCCTAAACCCTAAATTTAAACCCTAAACCCTAAACGTCTAACACAAGTGCCTCGCAGCTCTTGAAGCTCCGGCGACACATCCACAGGAACATCCTCGCGTACGGCTTCGGGTTTCGGGTTTCGGGTTTAGGGTTTAGGGTTTCGGGTTTCGGGTTTCGGGTTTAAAAACAATTGCCCTTTGCATGGGTGTTTGGGCTATCTTTTGACATTCTTTGGAGGTCCAGGTAGGGGTTCAGGGTTTCGGGCTTCGGGGTTTCGGGCTTCAGGGGTTCAGGGGTTTAGGGGTTCAGGGGTTTAGGGGCTTAGGGATTTAAGGATTTTGGGGTTTGAAGGGGTTTTGGGGTTTAGGGGTTGAAAAGGGTCCACCCCCACCCCCTTAACCGTCTCTACAGCCAGCAACTCACTCAGGTGTCTCCTCTCGCTCTTCCAGAATCTCCCCCAGCATCGCCGCCCCAAGCCCCAAACCCCAGAGACCCTAAACGGCCCTAAGCCCAAAACCCCTAAACATCCCTGAGCCCCAAACATCCATGAGCCCGAATCTCCCTAAACCCTATAAACCCTATAAACCCGATAAACCCTATAAAGCCCTATAAACCCTATAAACCCTACAAAACCCTATAAAACCCTATAAACCCTATAAAACCCTATAAACCCCATAAAACCCTATAAACCCTATAAACCCCTATAAACCCTATAAACCCCCATAAACCCCTGTAAACCCCATAAACCCCCATAAACCCCTATAAACCCTATAAACCCTATAAAGCCCTATAAACCCTATAAACCCCCATAAACCTCTATAAACCCTATATACCCTATAAACCCTGTAAAGCCTTTAAACCCCCATAAACCCCTATAAACCCTATAAACCCTATAAACCCCCATAAACCCCTGTAAACCCCATAAACCCCCATAAACCCCTATAAACCCTAAACCCCTAAGCATCCCTGAGCCCTCGGCTAAACGTTGGCATGTCACACGGGTCCTGAGCGGGCTGGAGAAACTGAAGCTCCTGCTGGAAGCGGCGCAGGAAATGGCGGAGCTCTTCCTGCGCCTGCCAGGGGTTCAGGGTTTAGGGTTAGGGTTTAGGGTTTAGGGTTTAGGGTTCAAATTTAGGGTCGGCAACTTCGGGTCTCCCTTTGTGTCCCCTTTCTAATCCCCCGCCCCCGCCCCCCCGCCCCCCCCCCCCCCAAAAAAAAAGAAAAGGCCCTAATTTAGAGAACCACCCTTAGAAGCCCTAAGCCCTAAGCCCTCAACCCTAAATGGGTAGTGGTCAAAATTATGATCCCTTTTGGGGTACCCTAAATATCTCTACGTGCCGTATTATAATAGGGATCATTCTAATATAGGGATCCAAATTTTTCACAACCACCCTAAACCCTAAACCCTAAACCCTAAACCCTAAACCCTAAACCCTAAACCCTAAACCCTAAACCCTAAACCCTAAACCCTAAACCCTAAACCCTAAACCCTAAACCCTTTAAACCCTAAACCCTAAACCCTAAACCCTAAACCCTAAACCCTAAACCCTAAACCCTAACCCTAAACCCTAAACCCTAAACCCTAAACCCTAAACCCTAAACCCTAAACCCTAAACCCCCACCTGGACCTGAGACCGATTGCATTCATGCACCGCGTCCGTCATGATCTCACAACGGCCGTTGATCGTCGCCAGGTCGGCTTGCACAGTCTTCCTCCAGCTTGGCGGCCATGGGGCTTTGTGTTTAGGGTTTTTAGGGTTTAGGGTTTAGGGTTTAGGGTTTAGGGTTGTTAGGGTTTAGGGTTGTTAGGGTTTAGGGTTGTTAGGGTTTAGGGTTTAGGGTTTAGGGTTTAGGGTTTAGGGTTTAGGGTTTAGTGTTTAGGGTTTAGGGTTTAGGGTTTTTAGTGTTTAGGGTTTAGGGTTGAGGGTTCAAGGTTCAGGGTTCAGTGTATACTTGTTCCCTGGGCTTCCCCTCTCATACTCCGGTCCAGAACGGAGGCTTGCCAGACCCCAGAAAGCAAAGGCTGAGCCGCCCGTCGAAACCCGAAAGCCTCGTAAATGGGCCTCATTGGGTTGCACTAAGCCCTAGAAACCCTAGAAACCCTAGAAACCCTAGAAACTAAACCCTAAGCCGACTGGGTTCAGGGGTTAGGGGGTTCCAGGCGTCTGTTCTGATCCATTTGGTTGTGGCTGCCCTTTCATCGCATGTTTAGGGCTTGTTTAGGTTTAGGGCGCATCCTCTCAAGTGGGGGATCAACATTCCCAGAAGCTCCATGTCTGATGTTTTGATGTATCTACAACCCACCCTAATCCCCTGAAACCCCATCCTTGCAACATCCCGGAGCAGCACAACTAAACCCATGAGTCATGAGCCTCGAACTCGCAAACACGAAAAGAGAACGAACGTCACTGACATCCAAGTCACAACATGCCTAGGTAACCCCAAACCCTAAACCCTAAACCCTAAACCCTAAACCCTAAACCCTAAACCCTAAACCCTAAACCCTAAACCCTAAACCCTAAACCCTAAACCCTAAACCCTAAACCCTAAACCCTGATTCTCGGACGACCGTCCTCAGGCTCTCCGAGCTCTTCTCGAAGCGATCCGTGACGGCAGAGAGGCCTCTCTTTCGGGCTTAGGGTTTAGGGTTTAGGGTTTAGGGTTTAGGGTTTAGGGTTTAGGGTTTAGGGTTTAGGGTTTAGGGTTTAGGGTTTAGGGATTCTTTGTGTGTTATTGGGGTTTAGGGTGTTGGGGTGTTGGGGGTGGAGAGCCATGGGCGATTTATGTTGCAGGTACTCCGAACGAGAGTGATGCATGGATTCCGGGATCCTTGAGAGGAAAACTTCCCCGCACTGCCTCGGGAATTGGGGCTATAAGTCTTCTCTGGAAGATTTGGGTCTTCTCCCAGGATCTGGGATTCAGGATTACGGCTCAGCACAGTCACTATGTTGTAGGTGCGTGCTGTGCGACTGTGGATGGAACCTTTAGGGAGGCTCCGCGAGCCTTTGGAGTAACCAAGAGCCCCATAGAGGAGTTCCCAGAAGAGATAAGTCGGGCCTGATAAGATGCAGGGATAAGACTCTGGGGGCCAACAACTTCTGAACAAGAAAAACCCTCAGCTCCTATGATGCTGGCTTGCGGGCTTTAATGGTCGAAACGGCTTCCTTGAAAAGTCTTCGCGCGAGCTCTCCCCTGTCCCCGATGCTACACAGAAGCAACCACACCCTAAACCCCAAACACTAAACCCTAAACAACCCTAATAAACCCTGTCATGAACCAAAGGCCGTGCCAGGGAAACCTCTTGCTGGACCGTTCAACCCCTATCCCAGAGTGTCCAAAATGCCGTCTCTTTGCGGTCTTAAAAGCCCAAAACCCTCAAGACTATGGGTATCTATTTGGTGGGACCTAAAGCCACAGGTATGAATAGGTCAAACTTACGTCTGCAGCCCTTCGGCCGAAATTCTCAGACGGTTTCAATGTCGTTCCTCTTTGGGCTAGTGATGTAGAGGGGTTATAGTACACCACACCCACAAACAGGGGGGAATTACATTATAGGAGCCTTTAAGTAAGAAGCTTGAAAATCGCAGCATTGGGGCCGGACCATCATTCAAGAATCTGACGAGGCTGGTCGAGGAGTCCTGGTAAAGGGTTTAGGGTTTAGGGTTTAGGGTTTAGGGTTTAGGTCAACAGCGGCGTTGGTGAACGGGCGCAGGTTTCGGGCTCAGAGCTTAGGGTTTCTCATGGGTTTACCCCCCGCTACACTACCCCCCCCCCCCACCCCCCCAGCTTCCCCCCTTAAATAACCTGAGTTAGGCTTAATTCTCCCTGAACAGGCTTAATTCTGGGGGAAATTAAGAGAAAGGGGGGTAGTATAGAGGGGGTATTAGGGGCACCCATGAGTTTAACAGCTCGTTGTTTGTGGTCTGCAGGTTTTGGGGGTTTCCCAGCACAAGCTGGCAGAGGTTGGAGACAACAGCCTGCAAACGTGTGTAAGCAGTCAGCTATGGTAGGATGTGGTCGGATGCAAGTTGACGCTTTGAGTTGCTCTTGTGGTGTGGCCGAGCGAACGATGAAACGATGTGAAAAACTAAGGTTGGAAGCTAAACCCAAAACCCTAAACACTAAACCCGAAACCCTAAACCCTAAACCCTATACCCTAAACCCTAAACCGAACTACAAGCCCTAAGCCCTAAACCCAACTTCTGATCGGCAACCTCAAGTCCGCAATCCTTCTGCCCGCCCCAGCTCATACCCTGATACGCTAAACCCTATGCCCCTACTACCCTGAACCACCTACTGTTTAGGGTTTAGGGTTTAGGGTTTAGGGTTTAGGGTTTAGGGTTTAAGGTTTTACACTTCCGAGAGCAGGATGAAAGCACTCGGGGCCAGGGATTCTCTCATGTTACATTGCGCGTCTTGCATGCAAACTTTTTGCAGAAGGAATTGGAATTGGCTTGCGAGGGTTCTTGCTCAGGATTTTCAACCCTAAAGCCTACCGAAACCCTGAATGCATGTGCTGATGTTGGGTTCTGCAGCCCTTGATATGGGTCCTTAGGACATGGTTTGATGCAATACGTTGCCTCTTAATTCTATGGTGCTGTATCAACCAATGAGTGGAAGGCAAAATTAGAAAACATGGCGAACTGTGCTGTTCCCTTCGCATCGCCAGCATAGGTCCTCCAGCAAGGGCGCCAGCTTCATGCCGTCCTCTCCCGAAACAATCCCTAAGCCACCCTAACGCCCAAAACCTTAAACCCAAACGCCATAAACCTTGAACCCCAACCCAAATTGCCAAAAGCCCTAAGCCCTAATCGGATGCAAGGACCAAATTGGCTCTTCACACCGGGCATATCACACCCCAAAACCTCCGCCCAAGTCGATAAGACTCAAACGAAAACACGCGTTAGTGGCTCCCCCAGAATCCCGCAGACCAAAGCGACCGCCGACACCAGTAAGAATTTTGTTGCCTATGCCCCGCAAGGACCACTCGGCCCCATCCAGGCCGCCCACAACCTGAAAAACGTCCGTACACTCGACCACCTCGATCCGGCGCCCGCAATCCAAAGCCCTAAGCCCTAAGCCCTAAGCCCTAAGCCCTAAGCCCTAAACCCTAAACCCTAAACCCAAACCCCAAACCCTAAACCCTACCCGGTCAAACCTTTCAAGCAGCTCAGCTATGGCGCGCAAGTTTGTCGAACGGAAGCACGTGGCAACGAGCCACAGACCTCCTTTGCGTGCGTCGCCATCAACTCCTAACAAAAAGATACTGGCTTCAACAGCCACTACTAGACTCCCCTCAGAACCTTAACTAACATATGTTTTTTAAATATCCTCTTGGGTTTTATATGAACAAAAACACAAGAGAATTCCCAAGGGGGATATAGCCATTATCTTACGAGGGAGCAATCGTAGGCTGGCCCCCTTGCCAACGCTAAGCCCTCCGAGTGTCACCACTGTGTGCTTCCTTTTCCTGGGCTCCCATTAAGAATCAGTGTGCCAGCGCGGCGCACTCTGTTGAGCTTCCCTGGACTATCTGGTAGGAAAGCTTCGTTTGCTATTTATATATTCAGACATGCGTTTGGGTCTGGAGCTAAGGCCAGGGGCAGAGCCAACGGTTTTGCGATATGCTGCAAAGTCACGACCTTGGGGACCAAATGAACCTTAAAATTGCTGTCACATACCCTGTACTACTATAACTCCTATATAAGTTTATATGAACCATAAACCCTTTTAGGGTTCATTTGGTCCCCAAGGGAGCATGCACACGCCACTCCGCGAAATGCGGTGGTCTTGCGCACGTTTATGAAGATTTCAACATCTGGGCAATCCGTGAACGGAGGATCGTGCAGTCGGAAGGGAAAGCATTTGTTGGGCACGTTTCAATGTATCGGCCGCCTGGCATCCCCAGTCCTGAACCCGGAATGCCGACAAGTACCCCTTGAGGGTTTAGGGTTTAGGGTTTAGGGTTTAGGGTTTAGGGTTTAGGGTTTAGGGTTTAGGGTTTGGGGTTTACGCAAAAGACACGAGACAGCAGACGCGACACAGGCCAGGCATTAGACAGGCTAGGGAAGCACGACAGACGACAAGATGCGTGATCGAATGCATGATGCACTACAGGAGTAGCCGAGTAACGTTGAGCCACGCACCCCCAACCTTTGAATGAGAACCCTAACCCTAAACCCTAAACCCTAAACCCTAAACCCTAAACCCTTAACCCTTAACCCTAAACCCTAAACCCTAAACTGCAATCTAGGTGGGAAACGTTGCCTGTGGTGTTTCGCAGTGGCCTGTGGATGGCCTTTAGGGTGCCCGAATTCTGAGGCTCTGGAGCCCTAAACCCGAAACCCCTAAACCCTAAACCCTAAACCCTAAACCCAATACCCCCTAAACAGTATATAGTCATTTCTCAAAATCATGGTCCCCTTTTTTGGGGCACCCTAAAATCTAAATTTTAGGGGCCGCCTTAGAAGAAGTTCACGTTCCTGCCTGCGACAAGAGCTGCTCCAGCTGGGCATTGTTGAGCGTCTGCGGGGGCTTTCATGCCAGCCATAAAATGGGGGTTTACGACCTTTTCGGGGTCCCAAAAAGGAAGGGGATCTTGCTATTTGGGGTCTATATTAGGGGTTCCTTACTATCGTAAACCCCCAAATGCGGTTGCTCTGGAGAAACGGTGCATATAACGGGTTGCCCTATCGTAAGCAGTATTTTGCAAAGGGGGGCCCGAAGTTTCAATTTTGAACAGCCTGCTGAGCGGGGAGCCTTGGGTTTAGGGTTTAGGGTTAGGGTTTATGGTTTAGGGTTTAGGGTTTAGGGTCTCGGGTTTGGGGTTTAGGGTTTAGGGTTTAGGGTCAGGGCACGCCATGGTTGGAGCCCACACTGGCGTTTGCAGTCCGAACTGGAGGCCCGGCACGACTGTCAACTCATAAACCGCGCAAAACCCAGCAATTGGTGAGATCAATAAGACTAGCGGTTAGAGTTTAGGGTTTAGGGTTTAGGGTTTAGGGTTTAGGGTTTAGGGTTTAGGGTAGAGGGTTTCGAGTTCAGGGGTACAGATAAGAAGCACGTACAATAACAAACATGCAGCAAGGAGAAACAAGGGCGGGAAACCAGCTGAACGAAAATATCATGCGCTGAACTTTGAACCCCGTCCACCGACTTTCCAGCACCCAAAACACTCAACGACCCTCAACCCTCAACCCTCACCCTCACCGAAGCCCTAAACCCTAAACCCTAAACCCTAAACCCTAAACCCTAAACCCTAAACCCTAAACCCTAAACCCTAAGCCCGCAGCCCTCAGCCCTCAGCCCTCAGCCCTCAACCCTCAACCCTAAGCCGACCTGCTGCTTCTGCAGCGCCTCCTCTTGACGGGCCAGGCGGCTTTCTATCCTTGCCTGGTCGGTCCTATAGGGGAGTATATGAAGGTTTAGGGTTTAGGGTTTAGGGTTTAGGGTTTAGGGTTTAGGGTTTAGGGTCTAGGGTTTAGGGTTTAGGGTATATGAACCTTAAGATGGGGATCATCTAGACCCAGGAGCAACCTAGGAATAACAAGGGCGCCCCTTTTGGATTGAAGGGGCTTCTAAACGGAACCTACATCCTGAATAAGGGCATAATAAGAGCATACTCCGCGTTCTAGTCATCTACTCCAGTGCTACTCAGGTATAGGTTTCGGGCTTTGGGTTTAGCATTTAGGGGTTCAGGGTTCATACCTGATGCTACTATAAGGCTTATAGGCTTTAAGGTTGGAATCGCCGCTAAGGTACATGTGGACCATCGACCCTTCTATGGCTCACACAATCCTCAAGGGTGGTGAACCCTAAACCCTAAACCCTGTGGGCTCAGGTGTTGGGGCTAGGAGGCTCCCCCGGCCCTAATGGGGGATATGTCTTAGCATGAGGCGTATTGTGGAACAACGCTCCGACACGACGTCAACGCGCTGGCATTGCACCGAGAAGTCCGGAAACCATAGAGTGGCCAGCATGTACGGGTCGGAGGCAAGTGTCGTCATTAGCGGGAGGAAAAAGTGCTCTCAAGTCTTGCTTTACCTTGCTGTGTTGCGTACTGCAAACAATTGTACGGAATGCCGAACGGGAATCTATTATCTTTCGCAGGTTTACGAGGTGCTTGGGACACATTTCCGAGTAGATTCGGACATAATCGTCGTGGGAGCATGGATGTTCTGGCCAATGGACGCACTGGTGACGTGCACGAAATTATCATGCGAGCGTCGGATATTATTTGCTGGCGGGCGCAATGAGCCTATTTTAGTGTTCGGTCCCTGATCTCGTTTGCCTTAAACCACTTCTTCCGGGCCAATGTCGTCTTAAGGGGTGATCTCGTTCAGTATTAAATAGTACTGGGAGTGTAGTGAGTGGTATAGTTGCCCTTAACCTTGCCATAGTGCTTCTCTGAACAACTCTGTCATTTCCATCCGTTTACGGTTAGGGTTTAGGGAGCAGGGCTCAAGTTGTTGCGAAGACGTGCCCCAGTGCTCTTGTTGCCTCCGTGGAAAGCAACTAAACAGGAGACGCTTCACTCCAAAACTGGCCTTAAACCTTCCAGCCCTGTCTCAAAAACTCCTAAACCCTAATCTTTGTGATTGTGCCTCCTATGGCCCTCTGGCTTCCCTAGCTGCCTTCGTGCAATTTTTTGATCACGTTTGGGTCACGTTTGGATCTCGCTTGGGATCGGCAGCAATCTCCAGGCCCGCCAGACCCCACATCCGCCGTTCCCAGCGAGCAGCTTTTGCCAGCAGTAGCCTACGCGAAACCAACTCTTCATCGTTTAGCGAACGCCTTCACACCACTATATACATGGTGTTTATGTATATATAACTAAACAAAGGCTTAGTTATACATATATATATATAATAGGTACAGCTAAGGAGTATGTATGCAGTATATGCAAGTAAACAAGTACAAGAATAAATCTCGTCATTCTACAACATGATCTCGTTTGATGTTCGGCCACGATCTCGTTACCGAGAGAGAGCGACACCCCAACCAGAAAATAGGGCACATCCAAAGTAACTCTGCTCGCGCGTAAATAAAAGCGGTTGCTCATGTGGGCATGGATGGTCTGGCCACTCGCACACACTGGTGACTACATGTACGTAATCACCGTGCACGTATGGATGCTCGGGCCACTCGCATGCACTGGTGACATGCAGTATTCATCGAGCAACCATGGAAGCTTGCGAAACCTTAACCAAAAAACGAGGTTTTGGCATGTGACACCTGCGAAACACTGCAAACACCGATGTGTTCGCCGAGTCCGCCGGCGCGGACAGTGGACAAGCCGAAAACACTGAGGCCACCGATGTTTTCATCATGCCAACCACCCGAAACCGAGTGAAGCAGCCTGTCGTGGGTTTGCGCGTTTGCGTAGCGTCGGGGTCAACAACAACCACAGTAGGCTTTCGGTGTGGCATCGACCGTGCGGCCTGCATGGCAACGGTTTAGGGTTTAGGGTTTAGGGTTTAGGGTTTAGGGTTTAGGGTTTAGGGTTTAGGGTTTAGGGTTTAGGGTTTAGGGTTTAGGGTTTAGGGTTACGTTTGCTGGGTGCAACCCCCTGCCTCAAACTGGCGCAGGACTGAGTCCACGGAGCGTATGGTGGCCTCAGAAAGTTTGCGGCGCCGAACCGTTTAACTTTACAAAAGCAGACAAATTCCCATGCCATGAACACGAAGAACTCTAAACCTAAAGCCCATAAGCCCATAAGCCCACAAACCGTCACCGCCTCCCCAACGCTTCACTTGGGATCCAATTTCTGGCCGATCCGCAAATGCATGCATGAGCTGTGAGTTCCTTTTCGGTTAGGGTTTAGGGTTTAGGGTATAGGGTTTAGGGTTTCGGGTTTAGGGTTTAGGGTTTAGCGTTTAGGGTTTAGGGTTTAGGGCTTAGGGTTTGGAGTTATTTAGGGTCCTTGACGCCTGCAGTCTAGCAAGCCCCTGTTTGTGAACCTGACTCCTAGACCTTCTGAATCTGGCTGCACGATTTGGTTACCTTAGGATACCCTAAGGCTCAAAATGACCCAAAAATCTGGCATGAGAAGGCCTTTTGGCCCAAAAACCCTAAACATCAGAGGCCTGAAAGCCTTAGGGAAACTAGACCCAGGAGTAATCTAGCAACAACAAGGGTACCCCTTGTGGTTTTACGGGGATGTTAAGAAGGCCCCAACCCTAGCGAAGGAAAAAAGGGCCTACTTGGGGTCCAGCCGAACATTTCTGGCAGCTTCGTTCCCTAAACCCTGGGCCTACTTGGGGTCCTATAGGACATGGTAGCTGCTGCTCGCCGGGCGGCGTCGGCGAGGAATCGGCCCAACTCTTCGGTGCTTATCTGCGCCGGTCGAGCGGAAAGCCTGGGAGGCGACTTCGAGCTTCCAGGTAGGGTTTAGGGTTTAGGGTTTAGGGTTTAGGGTTTAGGGTTTAGGGTTTAGGGTTTAGGTTTAGGGTTTAGGGTTTAGGGTTTAGGGTTTAGGGTTTAGGGTTTCGGGTTTCGGGTTTAGGGTTGAGGGTTTGGGGCTAAGGGTTTAGAGTTTGGGGTTCAGGGTGGCCCCTCCCCCCGTTGCCCTTTAGCATCAGGGCTCACACAGAAAACCAAGGCCCTAATTGGTAAGTGTCTACAGTAGAGCACTTTACTGGGGCACCGTGACCTTAGATGCAGGGTGCCCAAGAAGGTGTGAGACTTTACATTGCCTCAACGCGGGCGACGCATGAAGGATGTATTGCAAGGGCACATCTAGGCATGGTTGATACACCTGCGTCTTCCTCTGCTCCTGGGCAACGGTTTAGAGCACGAAAGAGAGGGTGCTTGAGCTAAGGCTTCGGAAATACGACGGAGAATTTCGGGTCTGGGTTTAGGGTTTAGGGTTTAGGGTTTAGGGTTTAGGGTTTAGGGTTTAGGGTTTAGGGTTTAGGGTTTAAGGTTTAGGGTTTAGGGTTTAGGGTTTAGGGTTTAGGGTTTAGGGTTTAGGGTTTAGGGTTTAGGGTTTAGGGTTTAGGGTTTAGGGTTTAGGGTCTAGGGTTTAGGGTCTAGGGTCTAGGGTCTAGGGTTTAGGGTCTTGAAAGGCCTTATTCAGCCGTTGATGGGCGAGCCGCTCGTCCAAGCGCTTTGACATGCTTGACTGGACATCCGCCTGCTTCCTGAGATCAAAGAAGAGAAACCCGGGTTTGGGGTTTAGGGTAGGAAACGTTTTGCAAAACCGTTGAAAGTACCAGTACAGGCCGAGCGGTAGCAGAAGCATTGAACAGTCTGGGGAACGACTTTGCACGTTTAAGGCTTAACTATGACTGGGATACATAATATGAGTGTCAGAGGTGCAGAGACTGCCTGGTTTAGGGTTTACTCAGACGAGACGTAGTTCTCCTTTTCATGCCAACTTCACCAAGCGATGCCTCATCCACATCCTACTGTAAGTGCTAGAAGCTCTTGTATCTAGCATGGTTCTCTTAAACTGGAGTCCCTCAGACGTCTTTGCGTCCTAAGGAGCTATATATTCTAAACTGTACCGCGAATTCGGGGGATCCTATGCAGAAACACCCGCTAAGCACTTCTCTGCCTGCCCAATCCCTAGCTGCAGAGAAGAAAGGAAAGGTGCCTCCTGGGTGTGCCGGGCAAAGTTTCATCACGTTTCTGGGCGTGTGGTTTGAACAAGCTGGCTTCCGGTGCCCTTGGGGAGCATTTCTCCCAGGGTTCGAAACTCACTCTCTCTCTCTCTCTCTCCCTCTCTTTCGTACGTGTTTTTTTTGGTGTCTCTCCCTCTCTCTCTCTCTCTCTCCCCCTCTCTCTCTATTCCTGTCTCTCTTGTGCTCAAGCTTACACTGGGACTTTCCTGGCAAGCATGGCGGCATCCCGGACCGCGTACCATCTTTCAAGAGGGTTTAGGGTTTAGGGTTTAGGAGGGTTTAGGGTTTAGGGCTTAGGGTTTAGAGTTTAGGTTTGGGGTTGAGGGTTTCGGGTTTAGGACGGTTTAGGGTTTAGGAGGGTTTAGGTTTTAGGGGGTTAGGGTTTGGGCTTAGGGGGCTTGGGGCTTAGAATCTCTGAGCATGCAAGGCGTAGGAGGACTGCAGCACGGGCACCTCTCGTCGCTCGGGGGTGGCTTTTCGGAGCTCGGGTGGGAGGCTCCAGGGCGTTCAGGGTTCAGGGTTCAAGGTTTAGGGTTTAGGGTTTAGGGCGAGGAGTTCGTAGCTCTTTCGACGGCGTCTTCACGAAGAAGGGGGAGCAGGTCGCCCAGCTCCAGCTTTACCAGGGTGGGCTGCTGGGCCTTTAAAAACCCATAATGAACCCTATAAGGGGCCTTTTAAGGGATTCTAGGGTATAATAGCCTGTTAAGGGATTATAGGGTACATTAGCCTTTTTAAGGGATTATAGGGTATAATGGCCCATCCTGGTAGCTCATGGGAGCTGCCGCATGTCACTGTCGCCGAGAAGCACTTCAAGCATAGATTAGGGTTTAGGGTTTAGGGTGTTTTACAATTCAAGTAACATGTGTTCACTTCATGCTTTATTACTAGTATTCTACGGCCTATTAAAGGATCTTTGGGCCCGCTATAAGATTCCGTTCGTGGGTTTCGTTCATATAATTAATACGGTCTTCATGCTTCGTTTCACTCATTAGAAGCCCTACTAATTATATTCTTTTCACGGTGTTCACGTTGTTCATACTTTATATCATTACTGTCTATGCGCACGTATAAAGACTCTTGGTGCGCGAAAGAACGAAAATAAAATGGAAAGAGCAAACTTTTAGTGTCTTTTTTCATCGTGAAAGTGTGAACTCACTTTGTTCAGTAACTTATTCACCCAAAATACCAAAAATAGCATCATTGAAAGCCCAAATTTCTAATACAAATGCACGCGACATAAATTCCTTGTCATTCTTATTAGAAATTGAATGGTCTTTTGGTATTCTCTTTTCCCGCGTTCTCCTTTCCTTCGTTCCATATTAAATTGACTTGCAAGGAAACGCGCGAAGTCATTTAATATCGAACGAGTCAAGGAAAAGAAGGGTTCAGGGTTTAGGGTTTAGGGTTTTAGGGTATTCTTCAAGGGGGGTTGTGGGGGAGGGTGTAGGACGACAGAAAAAACCATCAAAATCAAAGGTTTAAGTATTGGGAGTAGTCTTCAGGTGTTGGGGTGTTGATTTGGTGATTTGAGGGTATAGGGTTGAGGGTTTAGGGTTTAAGGCTTAAAAGGTCTAGGGGTTAGGGTTTAGGTGTGGTCATACACAACTGTCCTGGGGCTTAGGGTTTAGGGTTTAGGGTTTATAGGCATTTTTTGACCAATAGAAAGCCAGTAAATCACAAGGCTTTCGTTAATTTCCTAAATCCAATAAACTTTCGAGGTTTTCCGGTTAGGGTTTAAGTAAGGTTTAGGGTTTAGGTTTTATCATATACGAGTTCGTATAAAAAAAACTAGAGCTTGTAGTATTCTGTAAGAAAAACCATGGCGTTATTGGGATTTCCATCAGAATCCTAATAAAACTAGAAGTTGTTTAAGGGTTTTTTTGGGTATAAAGGGGGGGGGTGCAGCCGACAAAGATGACAACATCAACACGACGGAGAGCCTGGTGCCCCAGAGGGTTTAGGATTTAAGGTTGAGGGTTAGGGTTTAGGGTTCAGGGTTGAGGGTTCAGGATTTGAGGGTTCTTCAAGGGGGGTTGTGGGGGAGCTTGTAGGATGAAAGAAGCAATCATCAAAATCAAGGGTTTTTAGTACTGGGAGTAGTCATCAGGTGTTGGGGCGTTGATTTGGTGATTTTAAGGTATAGGCATAGGGTTTAGGGTTTAGGGTTTATTAGGTGGTTCCCAACTACTATTCCCCTCGGAAAAAGCGGAAGGTTCACTGGAAGGTAACCGCCGGAGCGTGGCGTTTGCCACGGCAGCGGTTGACTCAGCTTGGTCACCTTTGACTCATAGCAGGTTTTGATGACTGGCTTTGATGACGTTGTCCATGTTCGACAGATGTGTCGGAGGGCTCCATAATGTGATGTTGCCTTGCAGCTGATATTCTCAGCATGAATCAAAAAATCTGGCTGCGCAGGAAACTGTGAAAGCCGTACCTCCCATCCAGGCCAAAGGTAGCATGACGCCCTGTCCAGGCAGAGGTGTGCGAAGCGTATGACTGCAAAGTGAAATGGATCTATCGCCTCTTCTTTTGTCATTGGTGCCAGACTGCTGACTTGGCTCTGCGCACATCTAAGGATCTCTCACACACACACTCAGAGGTTGGTGCGCTTGAGCAGCTGCGAGGCTGGGGTTGAACGAGCAGTTTGAGCATGTCTGCAAAGCATTCGTAGCGATATCTAGTGCTGGCTCGGACGACGGCAATATGCTCAGAGGCTGGCAGGGACATAATTTTGGGTGAATACGTGATGATTTGTGGCTAGCATACTATAAGCTTTACTCCACGTTGTTTGAGTTTCTACGGGGATGCTTGTAAGCAGTATTCCGGAATCTATAGTCGATTTCTCTAGACAATGTTCAGTGGTCCTGTTGAAGTTGCTCTATCTGTTGTTTTACTTTGAGTCCTGCTGCTACGGAGAGGCTGGGGAATTTCTAGGTTTGTAAAGAGACTTCATGTTTTCGTTCCAGGCGACATTTGCCTACTGTGTGACAATCGAGATTCTACAGTTGAACGGTAGGCGCATGGATCACTTTTCATTGCATCGCGGCCTCCCACACAGCTACGTCAGTGGGGGGTTCCCACCACCAAACTTTGCCGCTTTCGGGATCTGTAAAGCCTGGGCTGCTTTGTTCAATGGTCAACACGAGTTCATATGCGAGCTCCCGGCGTTGCCGGGCGCGGGTCGACAGAATGGTTTTCCACAGTGGCCAGTCGCGTACCTTGGCACTTGGTATGACATCACGACTGCAAGGGCAGGTCCGCAAGCCTTGATCAGGAGGCGTAGGAAATTTTGACCGTGCAGGTCTTCCGGCTCCTGAACGAGACGTGGTTTGCTCTTGTGCTGACACAGGTATGGTACGCATAGACAGTGCGTTCAGCCACAGACAAGCCTTCACGAGTAGCTTCACGTCCCACCAGAGGCCTTCAAGTCGCCAATTGGCGAGTAAGCCGCACTTGTGCAAAGGGTTGGCACCTTGAACCAAAGAATTCGCTCTGTCTCCAGTCAGATGGCCAAGCTAGCTTGCCTCGCCACTCATCAAGCCTGTGTCAGCACGTGGGCGCTATCATGCGCAGACTTTTCGTCGTGAACCGTGGCCTCCGGCCATGGAGAAAAATCTCCATGATTCTCGTGTCGGCTCCATCGCAGAAACATCTGGATAGTCCGTTGTGAAGGGGTGTGAAAATTTGAGCTTTGTGGAGCTTTGGAAGTTTATGTCTTAGTAATTAGTTTCTGATTTTCCTTTCTGGTTTTGGCTTCGCTTCGATTTTTCTACTGCAGTTTGACAGATTCGTTCATGCTTTCTGACCAGCGCTTGCTCTGGATGCTGGTCCTCTAGGGTTTAGGGTTCAGGGTTTAGGGCGTTTAGGGTTTAGGGCGTTTAGGGTTTAGGGTTTCGGGTTTAGGGCGTTTAGGGTTTAGGGTTTCGGGTTTAGGGATTAGGGTTTAGGGTTCCCGGCAGGGCACGGCTAGTACACAACCCTGATCCGACACATGGTGTTGGGCCCAAGGTCATGCTTCACAGACTTCCGAGAGTCCGAGTTTAGGGTTTAGGGTTTAGGGTTTAGGGTTTAGGGTTTAGGGTTTAGGGTTTAGGGTTTAGGGTTTAGGGTTTAGGGTTTAGGGTTCTGAGTCCCGAAAAGTACTCTATAGAGGCCTGAATAATCAGAGCAGGGGCTTGGGGTGTGATTTATAGGATAATTATACAGGGACCATGAGGGAATGCTACTAGCAGTTCTTCCGACCCCTAAAGTATCCACTGTGACCAAGAGCGCCGGAGTCCGGAATCCGGAACAGGCCATGAACCCTTTCTGCTTGCAGCACCCTCATTCCTACAATTCGACGCCCGCACTGCTAAACCCTGCGATGGCCCAAACCCTAAACCCTAAAACCCTAAACCCTAAACCCTAAAGCCTTTAATAAGCCCAAAACAACCCCCCCCCTCTCATGCTACCACCGCAGAACCTGCTGGCAAGAATTTTGGCCCAGAGTCCGCAACATCCGCTCTCCCATCTCTTCGCTGCGGCTCAAACCTGCGCCGGTGGGTTTAGGGTTTAGGGTTTAGGGTTTAGGGTTTAGGGCTTAGGGTTTAGGCGTTCGGCTTCAGCTGAGATTTCGGGGGCCGGGGAGTTGCGCGGGCTAAGATGCTTGGAGCGGGTGAGGATCGAGACGCCGACACCAAGCACGAAAGCTGAATCCTGATGCAGGGAAAAAAACGCGTGGAAGGCTGAATGAAGGTTCTGGGTGCGTAGAAGTAGGGTTGTAAGTGCCCTAAGGTAGGCCTAACCTATCGGTGATAACCATAGCTACCCTACTTATAAACCCCTACTTCGAAGTACCCATGAACCTCCAAGTGGGACATCCTGAACCCTAAGCCCTAAACCCTGAACCCTAAACCCTAAACCCTAAAAAACAAGCCCCAAATCGTGCTGAGAAGGAAGCCTGGTTATTTGCATCAACGAGTTGCGTGAAAAATGTTCAAGGCTTAGCAGCCGACAGGTGCACAGTGAATGGAAGCATCCAGCCCCGAAAACGCCCTACACCCCAAGCCGTCGGCTCCCCAAACCCTAAACCGTAAACCCTAAACCCTTAACCCTAAACCCTGAACCCTGAAGCCCTATAAACCCTAAACCCTAAACCCTCGCCCCAAACCCTAAATCCTAAACCCTAGCCCTAAACCCTAAACCCCTAAATCCAAAACTCTCCCGAAACTGCAACCCCGTGGGCTCTTTACGCACCCCCAGGGTGCCAGGACCCCTATCAGAAGATTTCTGTAAGCACCACGCATGCGAAGCTCAGAAAAAAGTAAGAGCCGAGATCCAAGAATTTCGTAGGTTTAGGGCTTTAGGGTTTAGGGTTTAGGGTTTAGGGTTCGGGTTTGGGGTTTAGGGCTTGGCAGTAGGAGCGAAAGAGACCCGCAACCGCCATTCTGCAGTAGCCTTCAAATTCCCTTTCAGGGTTCCCATACTCTGCCCTTTAACCCCTACGAAAACCAGAACCCCCGAATACCCCCCAAATTCTATGCCGCCTCCTTATGCTTATTTGCAGGTTGACGTCTTTCAAGCCAAAAGCAAGCAAGCCAACATGCGCAAGCCTTCCCGCAGCTGCTCCTCTATGCGAAGCATGGTGCACTCAACGTCGCGACCCGTCGTGCACCTGGGGCATTAGGGTTTAGGGTTTAGGGTCTAGGGTTTAGGGTTTAGGGTTTATGGCCCTTTTGATCATCTAAGCTTGCATGATGCGAGATCTCACACGGACAAGCCCCATGCTTTGTGCTGTGTGGCGCGCGTGAGATCATTCGAAGGGAAGAAGAGGCGAATGAACCGAATACGTGCCCTACAGCACCGTGAGTGCAATCGTGGACAAATCCCGATGTTCAGTCTCCGTTTCCAAAACCCTAAACCCTAAACCCTAAACCCTAAGCGCCAAACCCTAAACCCTAAACCCTCCCGGAACCACAAACCCCGCGGAAGGCCTAAATTTGAACCCCTGCGAGAAAAAATGAGACAGATCGCCCACAACTCTCCCAATCATCCAATCCAAAGCTCAAAGCCCCCTAAACCCTAAACCCTAAACCCTAAACCCTAAACCCTAAAGTACCCGGAAAACAGGGACCTCAGAACCTAGGGTAAAGCAGTGTTCATGGTATTAAGCGACCATGGGCCAACTACTTGGAGGTTCATGGTACTTAGTAACCCCATTATCACAGCACTTGTAACCCAATTGTAACCCCATCAGGGTCTTATATGTGGGTTATGACTACCCTTATAATGGGTTACCCTAAACCCTAAACCCTAAACCCTAAACCCTAAACCCTAAACCCTAAACCCTAAACCCTGAACCTCCAAGTACCTTTAGAAAGTCGGCCCAAGGCACCCGAAGCTGGCGATAGACATCTCGTGCTGCCGCTGCGGCGACCCCCGCGCACCAGGGAAAGGCTCTTTGGCCTCGATGTCGTCGCCTGGCAGGAGGGTTTATAGGGTTTATTATGGGGTTTATGGGGTTTAGGGTTTGCGGTTTAGGGTTTAGGGTTTGGGGTTGGGGGTTTAGGGTTTGGGATTTAGGGTTTAGTGTTTAGGGTTTGGGGTTTAGGGTTTGGGGTTTAGGGTTTGGGGTTTGGGGTTTGGTTTAGGGTTTGGGGTTTAGGGTTTACAGGGTATACAGGTTTTGGGTTTGTTTTTTCTGGAGGGTAAGCGCGAACCTCGTTCGGGATGGCAGAGAACCATGTTCAAGAGACTAAGAAGCGTGCGGCCAGGAAACACGGCAGCCCATCCTTTTTCCTGCTTTTTCTGGCTGAGGGTCACCCGGCGGTGGGGATAAGGCTTCCAGCCACTCGGTTTGCGATAGAGTCGTGGAAGCCGGTTTAGACACAGAAGACCTGCCAAACTCACGCCAGGGACCTCAAACTCCAAATTCCTCAACATGCAAAAGAAGCCTAAACCCTAAACCCTGAACCCGAAACCCTATGTATTAAACCCTAAACCCTAAACCCTAAACCTTAAACCCTAAACTACGATCAAGCTCGAAACCCCGGGTGCACTCAGCCGCCCCAGAAAGCTATGCGCAGGGTACTGAAACCCAAGGGTACAACCTTGGAGGTCCAAGGTGGAGTCCCATGATGATAAACCCTAAACCCTAAACCCTAAACCCTAAACAGTATAAACCCTAAACCCTAAACCCTAAACCCTAAACCCTAAACCCTATCCCGTAAACCCTAAACCCTGAACCGTATTACGTGCCAGGTGGCTGCTTCCTAAAGTGAAGACTCGGCCCACCAGTGCATCCTCCCCAGCGCTCACTGGATCCTTTTGTGGACAAGCGGGCTTTTTGCGGGTTTAGGGTTTGGGGCTAGGGCTTGGGGTTTAGAGTTTAGGGCTAGGGTTTAGCGTTTAGGGTTTAGGATTTGGGGGTTTTGGATATGTAGCATGGCGCCCGATGTTGGAAGTTTTTTTAAGCAGCTAAACGCCCGAGCTTGAGGCGGGCTCTTATTCTACCCTAAACCCTAAACCCTAAACCCTAAACCCTAAACCTCAACCCTAAACCCTAAACCCTAAACCCTAAACCCTAAACCCTACACCGCTGATCGCACAGCATCAGGGCTTTTGAGCTTCAGGGTGATCGAAGAACCAAGGGGGATAACTTAGAGGGTTGAGGGTTTTGGGCTTGTTGAATCTACAGTAAGTTCTTCAGAAGTGCAGTGGGTTGCAATTGTTACTGTTGGAGCAGGAATTGAGTCTAGGTCAGAAGCTGCTGACACAACGCCTAAGTTCTGAGTGGAGCTCTGCTTCTGTAGCTAGTGCACCGGTTTAGGGTTTAGGGTTCAGGGTTTAAGGTCAGGGTGCCTACAATGTGGAACCTTTGAAGCACAAGAGGTTTGACCCCTCGCAGCGTTGAAACTAGGCACAGATGCACAACATCGAGCTCGTTCTCAGATGAACTCTAGCCTTGCAAACTTTCGGAGACATCTAAAACTATGTCATCCTTCTGAACGGCTAAGTTGAACTTCAGCTCAATGCAACTCCTGAGCCTTAGCCCTAAACCGCCTAAACTCCAAATAAATTTCCACTGCGGTGTAGGGTTTTAGGGTTACAGAGGGTTTAGGGTTAGGGTTTAGGGTTTAGGGTTTAGGGTTTAGGGTTTAGGGTTTAGGGTTTAGGGTTTAGGGTTTAGGGTTTAGGGTTTAGGGTTTAGGGTTTAGGGTTTAGGGTTTAGGGTATTCGGGAAACAGCAGAGCCTCATGGGCTGAAAGCTCGCGCCAGCTGCCGAGTGGAGAGTCCATGGCAGATGCCAGTGGAAGCGGGTTTAGGGTCTAGGCTTTCGGGCTTATGCGCAGAAGAACCCAAGGTTTTAAAGTCTTCAGGGCTTTGGGGGCTTTGAGGATTCGAGGTTTGGGGTCTAGGGTTGAGGGGTTTGGGAGTTTGGGGTTTAGCGTTTAGGGTTTGGGGGGGTTGGAGGTGTAGGAGCTCAGGGTTCGATGGCTTGCGTGGGGGAGATGTGAGTCTAACTCGAGCTGGTCTTGCCAGTGCGTCCGTGACCTCTACAAAAGCAGGTCTATATCCGCAAAATTATCGCCCACCTCATGTGCAAGCTGGAAACGCCAACCCCTAAACCTCGACGGATATCTAAGCCAGGAGGCAGGCAAGGCTTCCCAAATAGGAAGTTGTCGGAGCATCATGGTTGGTCTTGTGGCGTGGGATTCAACTGCAGAGTGAGGGGAGCGGTTTAGGGTTTAGGGTTTAGGGTCTAGGGTTTAGGGTTTAGGGTTTAGGGTTTAGGGATTAGGTGCAAGAAGAATCGAGACGTCAAGCCAGGCCTAGGTTGAATGAAGCGAGTAGCGCGGACACTGCGGTTGCAAGTGTCTGCAATGTCATCCCGAGAGGCAGGTGCACCTACTTAGTTGTCCAGTAGCTAGGGGAACTAAAGGTTAACCTTTTTGATTATAAGGGGAATATATTAACCCAAAAAGGTTAAAGGTTACCTACTCTACTACTAAGACCTAACTGAGGAGGACGCTACCCACATGCGGCTCTGATTACCATCAAATAGGAGACGTGTCCCATAGCACATTTGCACGCCTGCCCCAGCTCTCATTTACGTTCCTCAGTCGACATGTCCGACTTAAGCTTCCCAAAAGGCATAACCCACCCGAGACCAAGGTTCAATTCTAAGGGTAGTTGCATGCTCCCTTCATATGGGCCCTTAAAAGGGGACCCCTTGTTTACCCCTTATATACCCTATACAGATTAAGGGCCCATGCATCAGAACCCTTTAAAGGAGGTATTAGGGCCCGTGTAACTACCCTAAGCCACGGCCCTAAGACCCTTCTTTCGGAATTCCCGGTTTGGTACTTCGGGTTGCGCGATATAAGTTCAGCATCGTTCTACCTGCGAGTACGAGAACACAAAGATTGGACCAGGGCATTGTAGTGAGTAGTGATCGACCAGAAACAGAGAGGGCCGTGTGGTAGGTCAGGCAGAGAAAAGACCATGTGTACTTGAGGGGTTGTGGGTTGGTGGCACGCGCTTCAGCCAGCGCCCAGTGCAAGACACTCGAACTGCAAAGCCCGAAACCCTGAACCCTGAACCTTCAACTCCCGTGAGCCCTATAAACCCTAAACCCCCTAAACCGTAAACCCTAACTCACAACATCAGGCGCGAACTCAGGCTAGCTTGTTTTTTTTTTTGGCACGGGATCGCGAGGGCACACGTTGCTGCTGTGGATTTGGCAAGAAGGCCTCATGGTGACAAGCACTTGAGGTTGATGGTTTGGCTTATTCACCCGAAACCCTGAACTCTAAACCCTGAACCCTAAACCTTGATGGTTTGGCTTATTCACCCGAAACCCTAGACTCTAAACCCTGAACCTAAACCCTAAACCCTAAATTCGCCAGTTTGGGTGCTTCATGTGCTTTATGAGCTTCAAATGTCTGAGCCCTTTGGTGTAGCTTCAAACATCAGATCAGGCTCCCGTAGCAAGAGCCTCCCTTGAACCTCTAAGCGACCTAAGCCCAAGGCACCGCAAACACAAAACACGGAACTGAGAAAAAAATCCAGGGCCTGAACAATTAAACTAGGGTTCTGGCGGGTTCTTATAGTACATTCATAAAGGGACCTTAAGGGAATACTAGTAGTAATTGTTCATATTCATAAAGAGACCCTAAGGGAATACTGTAGTACTTCTTCATATCTAGAAAGGGACCTTAAGGGAATACTAGTAGTGCTTACTCATATCTAGAAAGGGACCTTAAGGGAATACTAGTAGAAATTCTTCCGACCCACAAATTTAGGGCCCTACAAGCGGTCATCCCACTGCGTCGCGGCTCGAGCTCCGAAGCTCGTTTCCGAAACCAGCTACTGACTGTATCCCTAAACCCTAAACCGTAAACCCTAAACCCTAAACCCTAAACCTAAACCCTAAACCCTAAACCCTATAAGCCTGAAACCTTACGTGCAACGAAAACACCCGTGAAACCGGGCGAATGAGATCCACCAACTTCAGTCAACGGCTCCACACCAAGCTCTCCGTTTAGGGTTCAGGGCTTGGGGTGGTTTACCAGGACCTCTAGGGTATAAGATTTCGGGTCTAATCGCGTAATGTGGCTCTGCAAGGCCCCCACTTCAAGAGCCACCGCCGATCCTTGGGCAAAGTTGGACCAAGGGCTGGACCAGGGTCCTATCTAAACTGCAGGTGAATGTGAGCTCTACGGGCGGGTTGAGTGCTTTGGGTGCTTAAACTTAAACTTATACAGTGTGCAACTTATTGTTATCTTGAACAATCAATCTTATATTAGTACCAATATTCATATGTTGAATATTATTAGCATTAGTAGGAATATTATTCATATGAATAGTATGAACATAGGAATAATGTGAATAATATTAATACAATCTTAATAGTATGAAAATAATGATGTTTGTTAATAAAAGTATATTCGCAAAAAAATGTTGTCATGACTATATACATAAACTTGTTTTTTGGTTGTGTTTATTAGTATACCCTGGCCTTCTTCGACCTGGTTTTCCCTGGTTGTTCGGTGCGGTTTCGTTTTACCCCCTTGCGACCTCATTCTACCCCGACGATGTTCGTGGTAACATGGATCGTTTTCTCATGGCAACAGCCATGTTTTTCCTGTTAATACGAAAATGGCAACGCCATAATTTTTTACCTTTGACATGTTTCGATTGCCGGACGGCAACAGCAAGGATTTACCTTGCTTCATGTTGAAGAAAAAAACAGCCCTACTGAAAGCCTAGGGTTACCCAGGTTTAACCCCTGAACCCTTACCTCTTCAGGGGTCCTTGGGTTCAGGGTGTTGGGCAGGTTGAGGGGTAGGTGCAGATTTCGGCCTGCTGTGGTGTTGAGGCTCAGACTTGCTCTTCCCACGAAGAACCAGAGACTTGCTCTTCCCCTTAAGCCCCCCCAGACCAGGAAGCCCACGAAGAAGCAGAGGCCCGGGTCCAAGGCCTCAAGCCCACCACCCTGTGCCTCTATCCTCGGCCCTTAGAAGGGTTTGTGCCATGGCAAAGTCGTCACATCGGTGCTTGCAGCGGGAATTGTGCCCTGGGGTCTTGTGTTTCGAGTTCAGGGTTTTAGGCTTTCTTGCCTGCCCCTGTCCCAGATCCCGAATGCATGCAGGTACAAATGATCTGGTCTTGACCATGGATCTGGATATTTGGGTGATGTGCCGCTTTCCATGAGGAAAGCCCTGTTATCCCGCAGGGTTCCCAGCTGTCCAACCTTAGGCCCATCCCCAAGCCAAGCCAAACCCCACACCTTCACTGGGCTGAAGGTCTGAACCCGGACAATGATTCAGATGCGATTTCGGCTGCACATGGTCTCCCCGGCTGAGTTGAGGGTCTCGGGGTTTAGGGTTTAGGGTTCAGGGTTGGTTATAGGGTTTAGGGTTTCGGGCTTAGGGGGTTTAGGGTTTAGGTTCAAGTACCGGTCGATGGGAACCTCGGCAGTGTTTAGGGTTAGGGTTTAGGTTTTAGGGTTTTGGGATCCAGAAAAGGGCTCAGTCCCTAATCCCTAAATTGGTGTCCCCCCCCCCCCCCCTATGTGGAATCAGCTGTGTGCCCTGCCCCACACTCCCAACCCTGAAGCCGAAAAACCGTGCCAGGGTTTAGGGATTAGGGTTTAGGATCAGGAGCACCCCCTGCCCTGAGCTTCGGCCCTCGCAGGCTAGGGCTCCCCAGGGCACTTTTTTTTCCTCCCAGCCGCTTTGCTGGCTGGCAAGCATGCCAAAGTCTCGACCTGATCCGGTTCGAGTGCAGTTTCTGGAGGCACTTGAGCTTGAGACTGGGGAGCAGGGATGGCCGTCCTTCTGGGTTTAGGGCCAGGTTTAATGAACAAGGGAGTTCAGGGATTGTGCCTGGAAGGAGATGTACAATAGAACCCTGGAGACCGACGGCTTCAAGGAGTTGCGAATCTTGGACCTTTGCAAAGAAAAGGGTATCCTGCTCTCGAAAGCCAAGAAAGCTTTGGAGCGAGGGGAGGCATGGTGTTGAACACTTGCATGAAACCCTCTGAAAATTTAAAGCTATATGTCCCATCCACTCGTGACAGATGCCTGTTCTCTTCAGCTTCGTCAACTTGCAGCATGGAATGGTGGGAAGGGACGAGGCCCGGAAACCGTAGAATAAGGAATCACCACAAAAGCCGAACACCACAGCTTGGGAACCTCATCCTTCGGCCCAGGTCGAAGATGCCCACAATGCAGCTGTCGTGGCCCGGCTCCTTGGCACTGTGGGGCTGAAAACCCCGACGAGTAAGGAGACACAGGCAGCTCTGGAAAGAGTGGCCAAGAAGCAGAAGCTTCTTGGGGAGAATGCCGCAGCAGCAGCTGTGGAGGCCAGCATCCCTTGGATTCAAATACACTGAAAACCATGGGGCCTCGGGCCCGATATTAGAAGGGTTTAAGGGTTAGGACTTCTAGATTCTGATTTAGGGTTTAGGACTCGCATTCTAGGGATGATTTTAGGCTTTAGGGATATGGTTAATGGGCATTGGGCTTTTCCCTGCCAGTCGCTGGAGGTTTGGGCAAGAACAGAAGGCGACTTGCACCGAGCTCTCATGTCCCACGTCTTGCTTCGCAGCAACAAGAACAAGGATGCCAGGCTGGGCTGGCCCTTGTTTAAATAAACTGGATAGTAGCTCGGAATCAGCCCCATCCTTGCAGGACTACGACAGCCAACATGGCATTGCTTAAGAAGCTTGTGGTGAGGCTTCAAGAGGAGGCCATGCAGGACACCTCGTGCCTAGCCTTATAGGCAGGGTTTACACCAGGGTTCAGGGTTCTGGGCTGGTTTTTAACCCTCAACCCTAAAGCCTAAACCCTAAAACCTGCCATGCCAGGAGAGGATGGTGCCTGCAGACGACCCTGGCCAGAACCAGGTGGAGGATGAGGAGAGTGCCGGTGATGGCTTCTGTTCAGATTGAGGTTTCAGGGTTAAGGTTCAAACTTAGGGTTCAGGGTAGAGGGCTTAGGGTTTGGGGAATTAGGGGTTCAGGTGTACAGGTGCATGCCCTATGGTGTTTTCAAAGCTTTGGGTTGGGGATTTTCATGGTTTGGGTGTTTGGGTTGGGGGCAGAGGATTTCACCACAAAAGCGCGCAATTGTAGCCAAAAGCCTCGAAGCCTATATCCCCAAAGTTTAACCCGAAGCCTAAACCCCTATCTAGGGAGCAGGGCATTTAGGGTTTAGGGAGTTCAGGGAGCCAGGGTATCTTTTTGGGCTCTCAAGTCCCAAACCATGAAGATCCCAGCCCCCCTCAACCGAACAAACTAATATTCTCCAGGGCCCAGAACCAGAAGCCACCGAGGCTATGTCGACGACGAAGACGAGCACCAGCCTGCAGCCGAGGAAGGTGAGGAGGAGGAACAGGAGATGGATGAGGTGACGAACCCCGACGACCCCGATGGCTTCCCTGCCACTCCTTGCAAGCCTCATGCACCTCCTGCTGGTAGTGAGGATGAGGCTAAGGCTGTCGAAGAAGCCATGGGAGAAGAGAAGGAGAAAAGAAACGATGCCCAGAAGGACCCTTGTTTGTTCTGTTTGGGCCCCAGACCTCTGGTCCGAAATCTAATCCTCCGCAGGAAGCCAGAGGCATGAAGAGGCCGGCTGCCTGTGTCCCGGCCGACTTGGAGCAGGCTGCCACGAAGCTGCAGAAGGAGGTGGAGGCTGCAAGTATGAATGAAGGCAACATCTTCGAGGCACATGCTGCCATGGGGGGGGGGGGGTGCTTCGAGGGTTTTAGGAACTTGTAGGGGATCTGGCAGGTGCAGCAAAAGATCCGGGCGGCAGCTGTCGTTTCAGAGCACGACATGAACCCGGAGCCAGAAGACCCCGGCCGAGGCAGGGGCAGAGGCAGGGGAAAAGGAAGGGGAAAAGGAAGGGGAAGAGGCCGGGCCGAGGCTGAGGAGCACCAGATGCATGATGAGCAGCTGGACCAAGAGGACGAGAAGGAGACAGACCAAGTTCTCTTGCCGGACGAGGAGGGCCGAGCGACCAAGGCCAAGTCTGGAAAGGCAAAAGCCAAGCCTGGTGCAAAGGGACAAGCGAAGTCTGTTGCAAAGAGTCAGGCGAAGCCGACTGCAAAGGGCCAGGCGAAGCCGAGAGCAAAGGGCCAGGCGAAGTCGGGTGCAAAGGGCCAGGCGAAGTCAAAGCCCCGCGAAAAGGAGGAGCAGCCAGACATCGAGGTGGGCTCAGTGTACATGTTGAGGGCTCGTTTAGGGTTTAGGGTTTAGGGTTTAGGGTTTAGGGTTTAGGGTTTAGGGTTTAGGGTTTAGGGTTTAGGGTTTAGGGTTTAGGGTTTAGGGTTTAGGGCCCGGGTTTAATTCCTGCCCTGCTAAGCCAGGAGCAGTCAATGCCTGATGTCGCAGAGGACTTTGGGGGGGGGGGGGGGGGTGGAGTGTGCAGGTTTCATTTTGGGGTTTCGGCAACGCTTTAGGCCAAGACCAGGACACTGGGAATTAGGATTGGAGTTTAAACGATACCCTAAACCCTTTAAACCCGCGATTTAACACAAAGCGACAAACACAACCGAAAGCACTTGCACTAGACCCAGAAAAGCCCCCTAAGTTCCCTTGCAAAATGTTTCCCACTCATGGCCACGCCCCAAAGAAGCCCCAGCTGAAGACACCCTTGTGGCCAACCCTAAACCCTAGCTCCGGGGCCTCGCTTCCGCATGACAGCAGCTGGCCATGCCTTGGATTGTTGCAACGGTTTGGGGTTTAGGTTAAGGGCCTAGGGTTCCTTGTCGGGCTTGACTATAGAAAGGTGTCGCTCAAAACTAAACCCTAAACCCTCCATCCCTAACAAACCTCCTTTTGTGCCCTGCAGGTGTGCAGCAGAGTCGGCAAGCTGAGTGCCTACGAGAAGGACAGCAACTCCCGGCCCTGAGGTTTCGGCGATCCAGGGTTTAGGGTTTCGGAACCTGGTAGCAGTGACCCCGACCAGGACTGCAGGGATCGCCATCTTCGGGCCATCGCTACCATCGCGAAGCAGGACAGTCGCATGAAGGTGCCGCAGCAGCATGTCTTGGACAGGACCATGCCACTAGGCATGCATTCTGGCATGCTGTCGCCCGGATCCCACAACCCATCTTGGCCCCAAGCCCTTGGCCCAGGTCCTTCAC